AACCTCAGATCCCACCCAATGCCCGGTCCTAGTCTAGGTAGTTCGTCCGCCACACTCTGAACATCTTTGTCACCACGCCCGCTCAGGCAAATCACTAGTGTCTGATCCTTGTTCATCTGCTTAGCAACCTGCATGGCCCCAAAGATGGCATGGCTCGATTCCAGCGCAGGAATGATTCCTTCCGTCTCGCTGAGCGTGCGAAACCCTATCAATGCCTCTGAGTCGGTCGCACTGATGAAGCGGGCTCGAGAGATGTCTTTCCAATTTGACAACTCTGGTCCCACACCGGGGTAATCGAGGCCCGCCGAAATGGAGTGCGTGTCACTGATCTGTCCATGTTCGTTCTGCAACACGTACGTCCTCACACCGTGGAGAACGCCTATCGACCCACCTGAGAGTGTGGCAGAGTGTCTGCCTGTGTCAACACCCTCACCAGCTGCCTCAACACCAATCAACTTCACCGAAGGATCGGAGCTGAAGGGGAAGAACATGCCAACAGCATTACTTCCTCCACCGACACAAGCAATCACGGCGTCCGGAAGTCTGCCAGTGAGTTCCTTCATTTGTTCCTTGGTCTCCTGACCGATCACGCTCTGGAAAGTGCGAACGATCGTCGGGAAGGGATGAGGGCCGATAGCTGAGCCGATGATGTAGTGGGTGGTGTCGAGATCGACGACCCAAGCACGCAATGCCTCGTTGACTGCGTCTCGAAGAGTACGAGATCCTGCTTCCACCGCCACAACTTTGGCCCCAAGAAGTTTCATGCGGAAGACATTGAGAGCTTGACGCCGGACGTCCTCAGCGCCCATGTACACAACACAGGCCATGCCAAATTTGGCGCAGACGGTTGCCGTTGCTACACCGTGCTGGCCTGCACCGGTCTCGGCGATGATGCGTGTCTTGCCCAATCGTCTTGCAAGAAGAATCTGCCCCAAGGCGTTGTTGATCTTGTGACTTCCAGTGTGATTCAGGTCCTCTCGTTTCAGGTATATCTGCGCACCGCCGACTCGTTCAGTCAGCCGATCGGCCAGATGCAGCGATGAAGGCCGACCCATGTAAGGGTAATATGATTTGTACTCCTTCCAGAATTCGGGGTCGTTTTTGGCTTTTTGGAAGCCCTCTTCGAGTTCCGCTAAGCAGTCCATTAATGATTCGGGAACATATTGTCCACCGAACTGGCCGAACCGGGCAGGAATGGCGTCAGGGTTCGGGGCTGTGCCATTTGTGGCCGAGTTGAGGGCATCGAGCTGGTCAGCAAGACCTGGTTCCGATGGGACATCAGCGTCGGTGATAACCTTGTCTACTTGCACTTGATGGCCGTTGAGACCGTTCGCCGCGGCATTGGGTTCCTTTGCAGACTTCATTGTCTCGACAATACCCACTTCCCTCGTTAGACCATCCGTTGTGTTGAAATCGCCGAGCTTCCTCCCAGTGACTTGGGAGCAATATTCTTGTACGGCTTTTGCCCGTTCACCTTGCTTCGCGTTGCCCAAAACTGTCACGATTTGACTACCAATCACCACTCCCTCAGCAATTTGCGAAACGCTCAGGAAGTGCTCCCTGGTGCTCACACCAAATCCAACCGCGGCAGGTATACCACCAGAATACTGATGTACCCTCTCCAGCAGCTCAGGAAGTTTGGTGTTCAACGTGCCGGTTGCGCCCGTGACCCCCATTCTGGAGACGACGTAGATGAAGGAGTCGGCAATCTGACATAGCAGCTTCATTCTCTTCTCTGACGTCGCGGGGGCAATCAGCGGTACATAACTCAGCCCGGCCTTGGTGCAATTGTTGCGAAATCTTACTGCCTCCTCCGGGGGCAAATCGACCATGATAAATCCATTGACACCGGCCTCCTTGCAGTCTTTCAACATGCGGTCTTCTCCGTAGCGCAACAGTGGATTGTAGTAGCCCATGAAGAGAACAGGGACTTTCAGGCCTTTTTTCCTGGCGTCGCGGACGAATTGGAGGGTTGAGGTGACGGTGATGCCGTTTTTGAGGGCGACAGTGTTTGATTTTTGGATCGTGGGCCCGTCGGCAATGGGGTCTGTGAAGGGAAGGCCGAGTTCGATGATATCTAGAGGGAGATGTCAATACAGCACTCTGACCGATTGGAGGGGTGGTTATTCCTCACCAACGCCACCGGCTTGTAGCCCGAGCATGATATCTGGGGTCTCTTCGGCGGTGGGATAACCCGCGGTAAAGTAGCCCACGAGGGCTGTTCTGCCCTCCTCTTTGCATCGGGCGAATGTCTCTTTGATGGCCTGCATGATGGATGTGACGAGATGTCAAGGTTGAAAGGGAGTGGCTCTCAGGAAGAGAGAAAGGAAGAGGAGCGAGGAGAATTTATAGACTTCAACGCACGGGTCTATCGTTGACTCACTCGGACGATATGTGTTTGGGGTGATAGTTGACCAGGCCCGATATGACAGTGGGTATCTTTTATCTCAAGGGCGAGTCAAGATTGCAGCGATGTGTAGGAGGTTCGGCAATATCAGGAAATCAGCCTCTCTCTCTCTCTCAAATTGTGGTGGTGCAGACAAGTCCTCAATTGCAATGGGCGGCCGCAACCCCGGTTGCGGACCAAAGAAATTTTGCCGCAGTCGACAAAGTCAAAGAGGAGCTTTGGTGCTGGGGTTGGTGGGTGGTTGGCGTCCCTGCATAAGCTTGACGAGTCTAGAAATGACCCCAGCCCCGCCGAGGTCGGCCCGCGCTCCCCTCGTCAGCCTCGTTGGAAAACATCGCGTGCCTCGTCACGATATGGATTTGTATTGGTCAATAGGACGCTGTTATTGTCTATCTGATGAGGAGAAACACAACTTGAGAGACACTCGCAGGAAAGTTAGCTGGATGCACCGCGTGTGAAGCAACTCTTGTTGTACTATATGCGTGTGTAACGACAGAGAACAAGGCTGATGGCGGCTAATGCACTCGACCATCATCCGCTTCATCCCCACAAGCATCTCTGTCCCTTGCAGACCGACACTATGGCCACTAATGTATAGATTGCACCTCCCTATCATTCAATCTCTCTTGTGACTCATAAAGTCTGGCTTCGTGGCCGCTGGTTCCTCGTGCGCCCTCCGCTTCGAGATGGTCGAGACATCCTCAACTCATCCAGGTCCAACGTCGCAGTCTTCCAACCCAGCTTCTCAGACTGCGGACGGGAAGTCTGTAATCTGTCCTGGAAGAACATATGCCCTTGTCACTTTGGCCGCTTCATCAAGTCCTCCATATCTTCCAGAGTCTGAATGTGGGCAAGCTTGGGCTTGACCACTCCAACCTCTTGTACGCTCTCCGCCATACCGCTCTCAAGATCTTCGGGAACCACATTCACCACGCTCTCGACGACGCTGTCCAGCTCTTTCGTCTTTCTCCTTCTCTCCCATATCTCCAGTCCCTTGTTGATACAGGCCGCTATCAACACGAGCACCGAATTCACAATGGCCCCCCACTGCCCGATGGCCATGTTCGCCTCATTCGCCGGCAGTCCTCCGTGCAGCAATGTGATTTCATTCAACACAATGTTACACACCATGAGAGGCAGACACAAGATATCGATGGCCAACCCCAACATCAACCACGGAATGACGAATGACGACAAGCCAAGCTTCCTCCAGGACCACCGTGACCGACGCACGTAGCCGAACAGTGCGAAGTAACCACCATACCACTTCTCCATGCTTGCCTTGTACACCGATTTGCTAAATTGATCTCGCTGGCCGGGTTGAATAAGATAGCTCATAACCAATTTCGTGCACATCATCGATGGGGTATGTTCCACCACGTCCGTACTCAGCGCCGCGTAGGCTGCAAACTGGATCGGTCCGACCAACACATATGTGAGTGTCCTGTACTGTGAATTATCCAGAACCCCATGGGGGATGGCCATGATCTCGGACGTCTGTCTCATGGGCTTCGTGACGTTGAAGCACTTGTAGGTGCAGTTTCCAAATGCCGGATTCATCGCCTTTTGTATGGGATACTCCAACAGCGTCCCCTGTGGTGTGTAACAGGCCGGCTCGGGCGGACTGATTGGCGTGTCAAAGAGTTCCGCTCTCCCAAAGATCAAACTGACGCCGACCAAGCAGCCCCAGCAGATCATGACGATGCGCGCGCGGGTCGCTCTCAGCGACGAACTCCAGTGGATTATCCCAATATAGGCGAGGGCTCCGGTGGATAAAACCGCCCACGCGGCCATGATGTCCAAGTCGTACACCCCGGTTTTACTCGTCACGAGGGTCATGAGATGGACCGCCGAGGTGCCCGCATATGTGAGCGCGCTGACGAGGGCACCGACGATGAGCCATTCGGTCCTGCGCCCGAAAATGGCGAAAACCAAGGTTACATAGTAGAGGAGGCGAGGGAGGAGACCATAGGTGCCAGAGATGGGATAGACGCAGTCGATTTCGGTGATTCGGCCTCCATAGCTGTTGTTGTTGTATGTTGTCTCAGGGAGACCTGACATGATCTCCGGAGATGCGATGAGAGGTTGCGGATGTGGTTGATTGGGAGTTGATCCAAGAGTTTACTATTCGATGCTCGTTAGAGCTGGTCGGACGCGGTCACATTGTCGTCCCAGTATTTGGCATATTTCGCATCTGCGGTACTGCTCATGAGCTGGTGGTAGTGGCGGTAGACTGAGGGCATAAAGGTTGGTCCACAGGACAATGATGAGGACGACGTTGTTGGATGAGCAGATGGAGAAGGTTTTTGACGTTAAATCAATCGTGAAAGCTTGACAAGGCGCAGCATCGTGTCCTCATGCCAGGATACCTGTTGAAGGGTTGCAATTACTACCTAGGTACGTCCCGAGGAACGTCATGGTTGGAAGCGGAATACGAGTACGAGCAGCCCTGCGAGCCTCGACAATTTCCATTGGTTGCTTCTCCCGTGCTGTCCGTGGCTATATCAAAGCCTCGGATTGGATCAAAAAGTGCCTGCCAATAACTCCAGGATCACGTCGAAAGGTGTAAGACGTGTCCTTCATGCTGCATATCTCAACCAAGTACTATATCCTGCCATTTTGGCCCCGGTTCGAGAGCCCTGTCCAAGGCCTCTGTCAATATCCGTCCCAGCCCTTCACGGTAATATATACCGTCTTTCCGGGAAACCAGCATAACCACATAAACGCCATAGTTTCGTCGTGCCAACAGGTCCTCCACATCATCCGGTAATGTGCCTTCCCAGATAGCTAATTCATCGTCGGTGAAATGACTTACCCTAGACATAACCAAGAAATCTAGGGGTGTTCCAACACGTGGCATCCAAGCCACATCAAGGTCAATAGTGCCACACCATAATCCGTTCCGATCCGCAATCCCTGCCCTGATCAGTCCAGGGTCTGCAGGAGCAGGTCGCACGGTCGACAAAGCGCTGGGCCCCGTAAGCCTCTTTCGCAAGGGTGAAATTACTGATTTGTGAATAAGTGCCGGCGAGGTAAGTTTGAACTGCACTGTGACAGTTCGAAAGTGTAATAGAGGAAGCATGGTGCTCAGGTTGTGGTGTGACATCGGACCAAGGTATTGGGGACGGGGTATAGGGGGCTGTATCCGTTCGTAGGCTTGTTTGGGGAATGTATGGATGCCGATTGCCTGGTCCGCATGCCATTCAATCCACGAGCGAGCCACTTCGGTGTATTTCCATTGTATTTCTCCCACCCAACCTGACCACGACCAACTTGGGAAGCCCGGCCGTCGAAACAGCCTTTTCGTCGACTCCCACAGCAACGACGGGTCCAACATTGTCTCCAATGCCCCATAGAATATTCTATCTCCTATTCGTTTTTCCAACACCAGTTGCACCCCTTCGAAGGCATTCAGGATGTCGTTGGGATTCGTCAACTCTCGCCGGGTATATAGCTCCACCGCCGATGTGAACTGAACAAAGGGTTTCTCCCGGAATATTCTGGTTGGCATGTCGATCGAGTCCAAGGACCAGCCATTAGACCGTGGCATCTCCATATCTTCGCAGAACGTGGTCCGCCGACATTGGTAGTATATCCGCCCATTGACGAACAACAGACACCGCCTCGAAAGCATTCTCTCCTGGAAAGTCCAGGCACGAGAATCCCATTGAGAGGTCGAAATGTAATCTGCGAGAAAATGAGTATTTGATACCAGGGTCGCTGAATTCAGACTTACCTTCAGCAAGATGACACACCATTAGCCGCATGCCAGGTTTGACCTCTTCTATCTCCTGATGGAATGTTCGAGATTCTTTCCTCACTCCTGGGAGACCAGCATTCGCGTCTTTACCCGAACCCGCAACCACGGTCAGAGCGGCCCTGGCATACACCCAGTCGTCGTGATATTGAAATCCGTCATCGTGCAGCAGTGCCAGACTGTCCGTCCACAGATACTTCTCTTGTAGCATTTTGGTGAGCTTAATGGCGTCTTTGATCGTCCGAGGAAGCTTTTCCTTCTCGAGTGCACCCGGTTGTGACAATTTAGGGAGGTTCTTAGAGGTCGTAAACAGCTGGGCGAAGTTCTTACCCCAGAGATAACTCAGTGCGACATAGCGGGATGACTGGGGAGCCTCAACAATACACATCTTGTCCACATCGATCGCACGAAAGACATCTTTCGGCTGGCCCAAGAGATCGGGATGTACCAGTGACTCTTCACATTCCAGGCCATGGTGGGTTTCGCAGTCGTGCAGCCACTGACGAAGTTGTTGAGGATCGAGCAGATCAGGCGAGACGATTCTGCGCCCAAAGAATTCTCGGCTGGGGGCGTCGTCCGCAAGGAGGACTATGTATCCATCTTTAAATGCTTGAGGGTCACTATATATCAGTAGCCGTCGTGTCTTAGGCCTGAAGATATGTTCCCCCGGGCGATGAGGGTCAGGCCCTAGATCTTCCTGTCCATCCACCACCCACCGTGCGTAGCACAGCGGATCATCGTCGGCGTGTAAACTCGGGTTGCGTTGATCGGAAGGACGATCGGCTATCTCAAGCACCAGGCGACAATGAGGGCAATGAGTTTTATGGCGGATCTGGGACAGCCTGCCCAAATATCGAGGCTTATGAGTTCTTTCAAATTCGCGGTTATCGTCTTGGACGTAGAATGACTCGATGTTCAAATCTAGACGGAGGCAAGTGTCGCACAGGTAGGATTGTTCTGGGGGTGTTCGATCATCCTGCGGACAATGTCAGTGAGGCGCAATTTTGGGGGGATTGCAGGGAAGTGAGCGCACTGTTGCTTTGATCCAGCTGGAGGGAAGACGTCCAAGATGTCTGAACTTTTTGGTCAAATTCAAGATCGAGGTATTCTGAGAACCCTCTGCGGGCTCAGGTGTCGACATCTGGGTGCATTTGTTTCCAGGTTGCAGTAGTGGGGACCTAGAAGGTGATTGAGATGGGGAAATCGATAGGGAGAGCGTTGGGCACCGCGGGCTGTCGCTTGCAGCCGACGCCGGGTCCTTCGCTGATGCAGAGTGGGAGGGGTACAAGGACGAACTGGACAAAGCCATTTGTAAGAGCCGCAAGCTTTGACTGAGAAATGAGGGGAGGGGGGGGAAAGAATTTCGATGGACAGGGTACGTCGAATCCCACAACACGAGCAAGTCTAACGGCTGTACGAGGTTCTGAAGATCGATGCCGGTCTCGAGGATTACATATATCCTCATCAACAACCCTTCAATCCAACTGCGATCCCGTATCTCCCTCACAACCAAGCAATCCTCCCAGCAGTCCTGATGACGGAGATAAAATCCCCCACGTCCCTCTCCTGAAAAACTACCTTGCACGAGTCCCAAATCCACAGGGGTGGCGGCGCCGTTGATGGGCTAGATGAGGCTATTGTGAAACAAAATCGACCGGTTAAAGCATCTGCTTGCCTTTCTCAGCTTCCCGCCATCATTGGCCTGAATTCCCAGGCGGAGTCGAATGTCTGTCACAGCCTACGATCCCTAACAAACTTCCCTTGTTGGCAGACAAGGCCACCCACCCGCCTCAAACAAGGCGAAACCTACAATGGCCCCCAACGGCCCACGCAAAACGGGAACTACGCTTCGGCCCTTCGTCCGCGGAAGCTGCCCGTTCGATGGAACTGATTACCTTACCCAAGTGCCGAGTAACGATGTAGTCACCTGCTCACGATAAAAAAGTAGAGAACCTTATATGGGCCTCAAGATCGCAATTTCATGAATATGGAGATGCTCAGGAGCAAGGTAATAAAACGAGAGCTCAGCTGAGCCTTTGCAGCCCTTGAGCCGAGTCGACAATCGCATCAACAAAGTCATGTCCTGATTGGGGGCTCAATGGCGGCATTGGGCGCATGCGGTCGAAGTTCTCGACCTAAGACACCAATACGAAGTCATATCTCCCGGGGGTGCTTCGTTCTCAGCCTGCCTACCCCGTACAGGTATGGGTATATATCGCTTGCTCTATCCCTCCAACCATCAGGGCCAAGACAGCCCAGCGCTCGATTCTTTCCGACACTGTTTTTCAGCCGCACGAAGGGAAACCGTGAAGTTGCAAGATACACGTTTCAGCACCCCTATCCAGACGTGTGACTGCCTCGCTCTAAGCCTGACCCAATATCAGCCATAAAAGATGCGCTGGATTGCCAGTTTCAAGGATTTGCAGCTTGACATTGTCGGTATCATTGCTGTGCTTGGAGAAGGCTCGATAACTCGAAATGCTCAGGCGACAAGTCTTTCTTGGTGGTCTACGCTACCTAGGCTTATGCCAGCTCCCCACGCCCTGCTTGAACACGAACGAAAATACCGACTGCCTACAGCTCCGGGTATCGTCGCTGGAGCATACAGTGGCATGATGAGAAGGGAACTTAATTTCTTCGCACAATTACTTCATCCAGAGCCGCTGGAAGATTACCAGGTTGAGCTTGTCCAGGTGACTGAGAAAAGAAGGCCTGCAGGAACATCGACCCATAGTCCATTCGGCCCCAAGAAGTATGGAGCCTTGTTCTGGATTTCAGTCGCCGGAAGTGCCATGACTCTGGCCTTAATCGGGCTCTCTATCTACTACCACGATGGTTTCTCCTTGCTGGCGACCATCATGCTGTCGATGGTGAGCTCGTTCGTGGGATTTGGCACTCACTATAATCTGGTATTCCAACAACCAAGAGTGGAAGTTGGGCGGGAGGAGGTTATACCTCGCTCAGATGTCGTTATCTACTATCCTAATGTGAGTTTGGTGCTCTTTTATGTCACCTTTGATGCAGAAGATGCGCTATGATTCTATGATTCCGACAAGCTTGACGAAGTCTGTTGCGTCTAGCTGTTCTCATCAGAGAGTAATGCGGGTTAGAAAGGATTGTCGTCGAAATTACTGACTGGTATCAGGGCTCAATCCGAGTGATTCGTCCAACGTCCGAACAAATTGCGCTCTTGTATTTCCAGCTCGAGTACGCACAATATGCAATCAGCGGTAAGCTGCTGTCGCTATTGAAGCTGGCAAACGAATGACCCGCCTCAAAACAGACACTCTATATCGTACCCTCGCCCTGTTGTCGACAGTCATGCTCATGACAGGAGTTGTGTGTCTGGCAAATGCATCCAATATTCTCCAGGTGACCTTTGCTGCTTCATATATCTTGCTGAATGTCCTCTACTGGGCTGTGTCTGCCTTAAACCCTTTCAGATACCACTGGCAACATGCATACGATGTCGAAATCATGCCGGTACAATATCCCCAGAATCAGGGATTCGACGCCCCAATTGCAATCTCAAGGGTGGAAGAATTGGAAGGGAGAGTCAGAAAGGAGTGGCGCCGATTTCAAAAGGGCTGGGCCATGGAGAGAGGGCAAGGTGGGCAAGGTAGAGCGCATGGAGGAGCCAAGGCCGGTTTCAAGGGCGATGAGGAAGCGCGAGACCTCATCAGCGCGCTGTGGATCGCCATTGTTTTGACCGGTACGTCTCAATGGTTGAATGAAGCAACCTCGATAGCACCAATGAACGCTGCGTGGAAAGAGTGGCTGCGCAAAGCCGACACCGCAGTTCAACCCCGACTCGGGGATGGTGTTGATCCTGGGAGACCCAACGATGAATGGGACGAGCGATTCCGACCCCATTACCGGCCGCGGATCCAGACTGGCTTAGGTTGGACTTTCACTCCGGCCACGCTAGACCACGTGCGACTTTCTTCTCGCCAACGCCGCTCCAAGTTAAAGTCCTGGGATTATCAGGGACAACTTACTGGGATATTTGGTAAGCACGCACCTCGAACGAGGATGCCGCTTGAGGACGAGATCGTGTCGGGAGGCGCCGAAGACGCCGGTGGGCCTGCGGGTTGGGAGCAACATGGCATAACTGACGAGGTGTAAAGTACGTCTGCACCTTGAAGTTTTCGACTTTGATTGCTTTGCCGCGGAGGAGACCCTGAAGATACTCAGAGTACGCGGTAAGATGAGGCAAAAATATGTGAGATGGACACTCTCCAAGAATGGGATTGAATTACTTCCCATCCAGAGGCGGACGAGGCGCGTCCCGTTTCTTCGGAGATGGCAATCCTACTTCTCTTATCGAGGGTCGGTGTACAAGAAATGTAAGTAATCTGATTAACCAGTCAACTCCAGCGTGGTGCCCTTTTCTTCCCATGCCGGTATATGACGAACAGCCAAACCCTCCCATGAGTCCGACGCAATGCTATCCAACACAGTTGAAATTCAAGTGTCAATCCCGACACCAATCCCCCCTCTACGAAAACCTCAGCATATCATCGTCCCGACGTGGCCGTCCTATCCATCACGAGCCGCCACGCCCTGGGCTCCACGCGAACAACCACGCCGTCTGCGTCAGCCGTCAGGACGAAGTAATCGAGCGCCTCGAAGCCGTAGGTCTGCAAATCGACGGCTGTCCACGATTGGCAGCTACCGCGGGGGAAGAAGAGCTCAGCGTCAAACGCCGCCAGCTCCGCCGCGCTGCTGGTCTGGTACACGGCGCGCCAGGCCGTTTGGTTCCCCGCCGCGAGGTTTGTCGGGTATAGTCGGATCGTCGTGGTGGTGTTATCAGATGAGCCGGCGAGGGCGGCGTAGCCGGTATCGGGGCTGCGGACGTCGATACCGCGCGCAACAAAGTCTGAGACGACGAGGCCGTAGTCGTCGACGGAGAGGGTGATGGTGCTCGTGGTGTTGGCGTTGGAACCGGCAGAAGACGAGGATGACGACGTGTATGTCCCTGCGTATTTGAGCTCGGCGTCGCTGCGCCCGACCTCGGCCACACCTGGCACCAGCGCCTGCACCAGCGTCGAGAAAATCACCTGGATCGCCGCGATCGAGCTGTCCGGACCTGCGAGATTGATGGCCACGACGAGGTCGTAGTCCGGCACCAGCGCCAGTATGGCCGTGTAGTCGCCCAGGTTGCCGGTCTTGGTGTACAGGTCGATCAGGCGGCCGTCAGCCGTGAGGTTCTCGCCGCGCGCAATCTCCCACGGTGCCCCGACCGACACGCCCGGCGACGAGGTGAAGGTCTTGGGTTTCAGCCATGCGCGCGTCTTTGCTGGTGAGGCGAGGAGCTTTGAGGAGAGGATCGCCGCGCCAAAGGACAGGAGGTCGTTGTTGGTCGAGTATATCCCGCCGGAGCTGTACAGATCCAATCGTTATTATATGATCACCTTTTTTATTTTTTGCCACTCAACCCAACCCTCTCACTCTCAGGGGAAGATTTAGGAGCCTGTGTCTTGTGAAAGAGGACGACTGTACTCACCTATTCTCATACCCCAGCGGTGTCCCCCACCAATTCGTCTCGGCGGGGATGAATCCCAGGGACGTGTTGGCGGGAGCCCCGAGGGACGTGCGACGCAGGTCCGCGGGCCCAAAGACCGCGTCTTCCAGGTACGCGGCGTATGTCTTTCCGGTGACGTTCTCGATGACGCGCCCGAGCAGCGCATACCCGATGTTCGAGTACACGGGGGTAGTCGAGGGGGCGTATACGGGCGGCCGGCGAGCAAAGTTGTTGAAGAAATCTGAGTCGTTTGACAGAGATGGGTCAGTCACACCAAGTAAGTCAACGTCAACAGTCTCACCCCTTAGGGTGTGCAAACACAATGGAAGAAGAAAAGCATACCGTTCCAGCTACACCCTGAAGTGCCGGGCGCGCCGCTGCATGAAAGCGAGTTTTGGGAGGGAGTCAGTGGAGGGAGGCCAGTCTCATCCGTGATGCCGGGCGTGTATGGGATAACGCTGTTTGTGACTGCGATTGAAATCCACGGGTCAGTCCATAACAAATCCATCCAGGTCCCCCCCACTCCTTCACGGCCTTTTCGTTTTCTCCCCCAATCGAACAAGACCAAAGTCTTCTTGGATTCTGGATCTCTGGGGAATGGATGTATGTGAGATAGGGGAAAAGCACGCACGATCTGCACCAATACCACCCAAATGGCTCGCGAGCGCATCCACCGTAACAGTGTCCCAATCGACCCTCGTCAACGGGTCATCGTGGCTCCCATCCATCTGCGCGAGCCGGGGCACATATTTCGTGATCGGGTCCGCGAGGTTGATTTTCCCCTGGAGCTGGAGGATCGATAGCGCAGTGAAGAGCTTGGTCGCGCTGCCAATTGCGTACACGGTGTCGCCGTCGACCTTGTGCGTGCCGCTCGTGTTGAACGTCGTGGGCGTGTGGTGGAAGCTCAACACTGGGGCAGGTTCGTGGATGGACCGCACGCCCACCGACAATGCCGTGGCGTTGAGTTGCGAGCTGTAAGCTTGGAGTTGCGTGGTGATGGCCACGAGGACTTGGGAGAGTGTAGAATTGTTGTTGTGCATCAGGCTCGTTGGCGCGGGTAGGATGGGGCCCAAGGGTGGGCATTGGAGTTGGGCGAGAAGGAGGGTGGTGTGGAGGGAAATGATGAGAGCGAGCTTATGATGCCATAGGATGGCCATCACCAAGAAAAGTAAATAAAAGCGAGATAGGGAAAGTGGAAACTGGTGCTGGAATTGTTCGTTGATAAAAGTTAAAAGATTGGTGTCAAGAAGAGAATGTTGTATGTGGTGAAGACCGTCTCATCAAGGCGAGCGAGGGCATATCGTCCTTATATACAGTAGTATATAGCAAGCAGCCTGCTCCTCCGCCATCAGTGAACCCACAAGCCCACAAACCGTCTGTGCGGTGTATGCATCTCGCGTTGGAACCATGAATAGAGAGGGCGTCGCCGAGTCGACGCTAGATCCAGATGAAGATCAGGCAGCAGACGACAAGCCTCGAGGCCATACCCTCAACCGACCCCGGCATGGATGGGTGGATGGACCACTGGGGAAAAGAAATGGTCCTGCAATATCTGTGAAAGTATGCACTTGGCCGCGTCTGGGGAACAGTGCGAGCTGAATGGAGCAGTATGTAGCTTGCTCGGACTCGGCGCCCGATCGCACGTTCAGACGTTAGACGTTCGGTGGGCACATGATAGACAGAGGCCAATCTCTCTCGCCTTGTCTTGTGGTGACATTGTTTTTGTGGCGCAAAGACTGACCTGACTTACTGAGTGAAGAGGCGAGGACAAGGACTAGGTACGTAAGTCGTGGAGGGAGAGGTTGATTTGTTTGTCTCCAACGGCACTACCTACATACCTAGCGACCTACCTACCTAATTACCTACTTACGTACTCCTAAGTCGCAAGTGAAGGAAGGCTGTGAGGGAGATGAGGAAGGATTGAGTACGAGTACGAGTAGGAACGAGAAGATGCTCGCGTATCGGAAACCGCGCCGGATGGGGAAATGCCGGCAAGGCTGTGGGCTGGAGTCGATGCGATGGGACGATGGGTCTGACTCTTGTGTCATGGATGGGTATGGTGCCAACTAGAAGGATTTGGTGGATTGGACTGAATAGAAAGGGGCTTATATCTACCTTATACCTTATCCTCGATACTAGACCAGACGTGAATGATGCTTCCGTCAAAACGGTCACGATAAAGCCTCAAAGTGCAAGTCATGTATGCTACCAACATTCACTCCCCAACTGCCAGAGTCTCTCGCCAGCTCCGCCACCGTTCGGGACAGGCCGCATCATAGACGAGATACGCCACGTCCACAAACGTCCTTCCATCCCTGCGATAGTTCAGTCCAGCGTGGACGTCGAAAAAGTGCTTTCCCGCCACATCTCTGGCAAAACCTCCATCTCTTTCTCCCAAACCTGCAACGAGACCCTCCTCGAGCTCAATGACGCGTGCGGCAATACAGGTCAATTCGGATCGATACCACAGGCCTTCCTTGGCGCCTGTCAGAAACATCATCTCCAAAGCTTTCCTGCGCACCGTGGGGTCTCGACACTTGAGCGCGGTCAGGTAGAGGGGTGCCAGGAAGGACATTTCAAAGGAAAAGCCCGTGGCTTCGTCTCTGAGGGGAAATCGTGTGAGGCCTTCCTCGGCCGCGAGGACGATTCCTCTAAAGTCGTCGAGGTGGTCTTCATGGTTGAGTCGCGCTGGGTCGAGCCTCGCGCAGGCGCCGACCTTGGTGATCAGGTAGTGGGCGCGTAGGATCAGATGCGCTTGCGGGTGCTGAGTCGCGCTCATTGCCGGTTGGGCGCTCACTTTCTCCCAATTCCTGCGCCAATTCTCGAGAAGAATCTGGGCGGCTCGTTGCTCGCTCTCTAATGAAGCTTTTGCCGCAGAACCATGGATCGGAGACGGACTCGAATACACCCGAAAGACCTCCACTCTTAAGCCCTGAACACGCTCCAAAATCTTGTGCAGGCAATCTCTTGCTCCTTCTATGCTATCAAAGTCCGGCAGCCAGAAAGACCCAGATATCAGTGATTGCTGCGATGACGGTCGAGGCAGCTGACGTCCAAACATCTTTGCCAGAAGCCAAAGTCGATCAAACGCTTTCACCAGGCTCGGATCTATAGACACTGTCCCTGAAGCAGACTGGTTGTTCAGAGTCTCTGCGACCATGCTACACCCCTTGGAGATCAGAGAAATCCCCGTGTTGTCGTTCATGCGGTAGAACTCGAGGCAAATGAAGATGATACACGAGAGGAGAGCGACGTGAGCCGCTTGCGGCGTGCTTGGCTCCTGCAGCGAATCCGACAATGCTACGATGGATTTGTTGTAGTATCGTAGTGCTTGTCGACAGTGAGCACAAACACAGTCGGACGCGTGCTGCGCACCACCGTCTTGGCCGTGTCTGAACAGATTTCCCAGGGCAAAGATCCCATTCCGGACAGTCGGCTCGGTATCGGCGGCCTGGAGCATCAGCTTCTGCCACAGCTCCGTGTCAAAGGCGCCCCCCAAGGTAGATGCGATCCGGTGGGAGTAGAACCCGTAGGCTTGCCATTCTGACGGGGTAGCGCGAAAAGCCGAGAGCAGGGACGAAGAGTTGTTGAGATGGGGAGGAGTCGTTGCTTTGGCAGGACTCGCGACAACTTCTTGGACCACTGAGAGCTGATAGCCCTCACACACTCGACCTGCTTTGGCGCATCGCGAGCACGAAGGCTTCTCCAGAGAACACTTGACCCGTCGCCGTTTGCAGGTTACACACCCTGTGCGAGTCTTTGGACCATGTCTGCCGAGGCCAGCAGTAGCCATTTCAACAACAAATGCGAAAGATACAAGAGCTCGAGGTCGTCGGGGGCGTGTTTGAGGGGACTTCGCCTAGTGTTACATATATACATGGCCAACATGTTTCACTAGGCCTGGATGGGCTATAGCATGGGGTATAGCGGGTGGCCTGATGCAACGCTTGAGCCTGGTGCGGTGGTGGCCTTGTCGGCTCAGCACTGCGCTACAAGTATACAGAGTATGCTCGAGATAGAAACGAAGACTTACCTTACTCGACTTGTATCTCACACTGGCGTGGATTCGGAATATACTATGTGACAATAAGCTTTGATAACATATGCCCAACTGATGTCCAAGGGCGGACGGACATGTCCGTGTACAGAAGCCCATAAATAACGAGCTGAGCCCAGGATGGAGCAGGACAAACCTCGAGGTCTCACATAACAAAAGACGACTCTCTAAAGGCCAGAGATTGGTGATCTTTGCAAGTGACAATGTCTATCTCGCAGTCCAACGAGGAACGCTTAAAGTCGAGGAAGCCCTTGCCCACTCCTCAACCAGCATATCTACCTACAGCCGGTTCGCCCTTGACAGTCAACCAAGAGTTGTATCAATCAATTCAACAAAGTCCTCGGGAGCTTGTCGAGTCGTTTGTCTTGCCTATCCGTTCGGGTCGTGCTTGGAAGGCCCCAGCAAAGAGTATTGTCCGAATCAGCACACCCGAAGGGCCTCAAGTTGGTAAGGAAGAGGAGTCTTGATATAGGATCAGGTTCTGACATTCTGGTAGGCGATTTGAACATCTGGAATGCGAACAACCCTCGCGAGAGGTTCTGGGCCTCGCGGACCAAGCAGCTCCATTCGTCACACGTTACCACATATGATCGCCTCTGGTCCTGCCTACCGTATATGCGTCCCCTGTGCACCATCATCTCTGATTCTCTCTCCTGGTATGGAGTGGATGAGACCGGAGGTAGAGTCCACGACCTTCTAGGCACCAGATGCGACCCGTATATCAACACCCTGCTCTCCGGACCTGAAGCATCGTACGACTATCATTGTCACTCCAACCTCACAAGAGCTGTCCTGCCGTTCGGCCTCAACGAATCAGATGTTCACGACGTCATCAACTTGTTCCAGGTAACTGGCCTGGATTCGCAGGGGAGATACTTTATGAATCCTTGCCCTGCTCAGCCAGGCGATTATATCGAATTCTTTGCAGAGCAGGACCTCCTGATGGCGCTGTCGACCTGTCCAGGTGGAGATCTGTCCTTGTGGGGTTTCGGGAGCGATAGCGAGAAGGAAATGATCAAATGCTGCCGCCCGCTCAAAGTTGAGGTGTTTAAACTGGCCGAGGAAAGCAGCATTTTGGCGGGAAAGTGGCAAGAGGCCGGTCGTCCAGACTACCGGGGTGTCCATGGCATGACAGTGCCAGCAGGCGAAGTGAGAACATAGCCCAATGTGTTAGGGCTGGGCCAGTGAGCCTTGCGTAGCCAGAGTGCGTTTCAGCGAGCAGCCATTTCCTGCTGGTCCATAGTCTCTGTCACTTAATTTAGCTTCTTAAAAACGACGTTCAAGGCATCTTCGAGAATAGCAAGCCCTCTGTTAATCTCCTCGTGCGAAATCACAAGCGGAGGAACAATTCTGAGAACACCGTCTCCTGCGGTGATAATTAGAAGACCCCGTTCTCGTGCAGCAGTTATGACCTCAGTCGCTTTCTCCTTTGCGGAGTCGGACAGCTGGTAACCGACAATAAGACCTTTGCCCCTGACTTCTGAGAAGACGCCCGGGAACTTTTCCTTCATAGTTTCAAAGGCGCTGAAGAAGAGAGTCGACTTGATTCGAACCTCTTCCTGTAATTGAGCTTTGGCGAGACGACCAAAGACGTGATGAGCGACTCGGCAAGCCAAAGGATTGCCGCCAAAGGTTGTTCCGTGATCGCCCGTCTTGATGTACGGAGCGACGGTCTTGCCTGACACGAGGGTGGCTCCAATAGGGATACCGTTGCCCAAAGCTTTGGCGGTTGTTAGAATATCGGGGTGCACGCCAGATGCAGTGTATGCCCAGAGGTCTCCGGTCCTTGACAGGCCACATTGAATCTCGTCGAATATGAGAATCGCACCAACCTCGTCACACCGCTTGCGAAGGGCCTGAAGGAACGCCGGGGTTGCTACATTGACACCCCCTTCACCCTGAATTGGTTCGACAATCACTCCTGCAGTGTTCTCGTTGATCAACTCTTGGACACCCTCAACGTCATTGAACTTTCCATAACGGAACCCAGACAACATGGGACCAAACGGAGCCTGGTATTTCTTGTTCGGAGTGGCCGAGAGCGAGCCATAAGTGCGGCCATGGAAAGATCCATGAAATGACACAATGTCTCGCTGCTTTGTCTCTGGATCTTTTGCATAGGTCACCTTGCGAGCAAATTTCAGCGCGGCTTCGTTGGCCTCCGAGCCCGAATTTGAGATAAAGACCTGAGTCAGAGGCGAACCAGGCGATTGCTTCTGGGTCTCCTCGATCAAGGCTTTGGAGAGTGTTGGGGTCCAGGGGTTGTGATAGAGGTTAGATGCATGGATCAATCGTTGTGCCTGGTGGGCGATCAGTCTGGTAATTTCAGGATCGTTGTGGCCCAAAGAAGTAACTGCTATGCCAGCAGTGAAATCCAGGTATTGTCTATTTTCATTATCATACAAAGTACACCCTTCTCCTTGTACCATCATGGGCGGGGGTCGAACATAGGTAGGGACCATATAGGGAGTCGACTGGTTCAGAAATGTCGCCGTCGGCGAGTCGGAGGCAGGGTCCGGGTTGGGTACAGAGACTTCGTAACGAATCTGGGTTTCATCTTGAACGGGAATACTGGAAGAAGTGGGCACAGCAGTAGCAGCACTGGCATATCGTCGCCAAGTCAGGGAAGCTCGTTGTGAGGGAGCAGCAAGCTTGGAGAGTTGAGAGCAGGCTACTCTCTTGCTTAGGGAGAAGGCCATTTTGGGCACGATGGTAACAGCAATGACAAAATTATTGAAGAAGTTGCTCCTCTTCTCAGAGCAGTTCTAAAACAAACCAGTCTATGAAAGGAGATAAATAGTCAGTTGGTGTCTGTTGGAGAATTTTTCATTGAGTCACGCCGCAGTCAGTACTTTTTGCCTGCAATATTTTTTTTCTGGAGGTTCAATGCGGGGAAATCCGGCAAGCGGCGCCAGTGGGAGCCTCGAGGGCGCAATTGGTGAAGCGGCCTGCGCCGTATAGGCAGCATGCATCATGGACGAGGTACCAAGGACCTCATCACTTCGACCTCACACCAGTACCATCTCCTCCATGTCACTCTGAATCAACTCGAGTCCCTTTCTCCAACCAAACAACCAGCACTGGCCCTATAACAAGCTCAATCTCCATCTGAGACCAATGCATTCCAGATCCAAGAGTATTACGAGGCCCTTGATGCAGGTCCTGCAAGGGGAGCCCCGATCCGCAATGCAGTTGAGAACTCAGCCGGACACTCCATCCACCCATGTCTCATGCCACTGGAATGTGAGTGCCATATCCGTACTTGTCTCAAGCCACAGCCGGTCTATCGGCCTCCTTGCAATATCAACTGCATCGAATACGAAGATCCAGCCTTGATGACAGTTAAGTCCCTGATTCAGATGAGCCGTCGACTTCTGCTCGCCATGGCGCTCGGGACCGAATTTGGCGGCGCAGTCTACGGTATCCTGCAGTATGGACCAATGTAACACATGTCGAGATTGGACCGCAAAAATGGTGCTCTGGATTTCTATTTTCTGCTCGAATCCATTTCTAAACCCTATGTCCGGTCTCGATTTGTCTGAGATTGTTGACAACTACATGGGTATACCGTGGTAGGGCTTGAATGTGGTAACCCCTTTTCTCTCTGCCCTTCCATCTGTTGTCTTGGAAAATAATTTAAAAGGACTTCAGTTTCCATCTCATTCAGTGTCACGTCTCTACTCAACGTCTCGGCACAGACATCTTTGGCGAAAGGCAAGCGCTCAACAGCTTACTCATAACATTTGGCTGAATCACTTTCCAATCTCCATCTCATCATGAAGTCTCTTCTCTTCGCTCTCGGTGCTGGCGTGCCCTTTGTGGTCGCCAATCCCTTTGGTGGTGGCTCGTTCTTCGAGCGCGGTGTTTGTGCTGCAGACAACTGTGCAAGGTATGGGCTGGTGATGTTGTGATGACCAAGGCTGATATCTCTCAGGGCTGTCACAGGCACAGCAGGTCAGCCACCTCTTGCGACCCGACAGGCAGATTGCTCGGCCTTCTTCAGCCCAGCTCCTACCCCAACAGTGCCAGCCTACGCTTCAGCCTGCAGTGGTGCCAGTCGCTACAGCAGTGCCTGTTCTTGTCTCGGAATCACGGCGCCAACGTATACTTGTGTTAGCTCAGCTCAAGCGACCAATATTGTCAATACCTTTGCTTCATTCTTGACTGCTCCGCAAGCTCCAGACTTTGCTGCAAAGGCAAACGCATTGTTGGCAGACAACTTCACTGACACCAGCGACTCCATCAATTTCCTTGCTGGTTACCCAGTAAGTCACTTTCACAGGTTCTGACTTTAGTATCGTACTGACGGCTTGGTAGCTCGGTAGCACCACATTCCCCAGCAAGGCCGCGTTCATTGGTGGCCAAGGAGCACAGCCGCCGATCCCGACCTTGACTACACTCGATATCTTCTTTTCCTGCAACAAGATTGCCTGGCGATGGGTCGCACAGGGCATCGGGTCTGGTCAGTATGCTGTCAAGGGTATCGACACCTTCACAATCACGCCGTCGGGCCAGATCAGCCAAGTTTTTGCCGAGTTCAACAGTGCTGCTTGGGCAGCGGATTACGCTGGTGCCTCACCGCCTTCAGGTTCATCAAGCACCTCGACGACGTCGAAAACGACAACAACGAGCACAACACCAAGCACAACGGTGGCGTGACCGAACGTCTTTCGTGGATGAGGGAATGCCTGGTTTAGGTAGTTCTTTTGGAATATCTTTTTATTTCGCTTCAATTAGTGAGAAGGCATTCTACAGCAGTAACTCTAGAATTTATTCAAAACTTCAGCACTGAGCATGAAATTATTCATTCTACACTTCGATCCGAAATCCCTGTCTTTGCGGTGTTTTTCACATTGTCCTGTGTACCTTGAGACGTCTCGACGTCTAGATGTACAAGGTTTGCCGAAGAACAGCCGGTGCAGTTTCCGACGCCTCGCCAACTCGCCAAAGCTACTGTGCAGTAGGTTCTTTTTTTGTCACCGGCGACAAAAGTCTGAAGCAGGAAGCAACGAGATATATATCTTACATCAATTATCCGTGTCCGCGTCGCTCCCAGTAAGAGAAACAGAAAGAGCACAAGGACCTCTCACTCACAAGTTTATTGTTTTTTTTTTGGTCGTTTACGTGATATCTCGCCACGAGGCGAACGAATTCAATTTACCACAACCAACACTACCGCCTCCGCCGCCACGGTCACGAGCGCTCGAGAGTCAAGAATCAGCAGTCAAAAGGAGGACATAAAATAAAGAAATAGAAGCAAAAAAAAAAAAAAAAAAAAAGAAAAATGACACCCGCTGGGTCGTACGCTCTCCGCGGCTCGCTGCCTCTGCCTCTGTGCGCCGCTGCCGCCACCGCACCCCGCGCCCACCTCTTTACTGCTCCGCAGACACTCTCGAGGACAATTTCAAGCTCAAGTTTGAGCCCAAATTCAAGTTTAAGAGCAAGACCAAACCCAAATCCCCTGCTGGCGAACGTGGACGTGAACGTGAGGGGTGCTGCTGCACCTGCACGCTCACACTCACGCTCAATCCTAGCCCGAACCAACGGCGGCGTTCGACAACTCAGCCACTCCTCTGCGCGGCTGAGGAAAGACGATCCGTCAGCGGGCGGACAGTTCAGTTTCCGCGGCATGCCTGCGCCGCCGCGGCTGCCCAAGGAGGAGCAGGACGTGTTTGAGGCGCTGCAGCGGCAGTCGACGGGGGCGTTCTCAACGCCGCGGGTTAATCAGTCGCCAGACTCGTCGTCTCCGATCGAGGGAGATGCGGCCGCCGCCACCGTCGACGGCGCCAAAGACCAGACAAAACCTCAGGAAAATCAATATACTCATGTGATTGACGCGAGCGGTGCAGGAGAGGAGTTACACCCCAACTTGGTGAGAGGGGCGCAGCCCGAGTTTGAGGGCGACAGGAATCCAAAGACGGGGGAGATTGGAGGGCCCAAGAACGAGCCGCTGAGATGGGGTCCCAGTGGAGAGTGGACGTATAATGGGCGAGCTACGGATTTTTAGAGCATGAAAACATACTCATACGATCGATCTAAAAGGACCTGTGTGATTCAATATTGATTTCAATTGATGCCATTGTGGTTTGGCCCCAGATGTTCCAGCTTAAAAAGAGTCGTGTCCACCAAATCCTGTGTCCCGTTTCACCCCGACGCTGTCTTTGACCTCTCAAGTTCCTGTGATTCTGAACCGTGACTGTCCACTGTGATCGTGACAGAAGATATCATAAGCAACCTCGTAGTAAGTGTTGGAGTCGTATCATATCAAGCTTCGTGAATTAAAGGGTTGCCGAAGAGTCAGGCGGATTGTACAATCCAGTCAAAGCGTTGGATCTTGTTCACAGACTGTCCTGTCCTGTTCTACCCGTCTGCGGCCACGGTCATTGGGTCCTGACCTCGCTGTCCTGCTCGACGTGGATGTGCTCGTTTGTCTGGAGGACGCCGACCTTGTCATCAGGGAACTCGACGCTAACCAACACATAAGTCGTTAGTAGATGCGTGTGTCAGAGGGAGAGTCTGCAAAAGAAAAAACTGAAGAAACTCACGTAAACCCCTTAATAAGGGTGAATTCGTGCTTGATCTCTCCTCCATCGGCCTTGGCCTTTTCTTTGGCCTTGGTGAGTTCTTCCGGAGAAGCGTTTTCCTTGAGGGTGACCTTTTGCCATAGAGTCAGTGATTGCAATATCAGATTAAGGAAGGGCAGCATACGTTGAAAAGAGGCATCTTGACTTTGTAGTGGTGAACCGAGTGGTGAAGGGAGCAACGGATGGAGAAGGACCTGGTTCGATTGCAATTTATGGGAGAATGTAGAAAGCAGATCTAGCAAGAAAAGTCTAGGTCTAGGTTGGTATTGAAGAAGAAAAGGTTTTTTGACGGCTTTGACGAAGCGAGTTGGTTTGGTGGAAGATGAAAAGGTCGTGTGAGTTGGAGGGGTGTGAAGAAGTCAGTCACTCAGTCAGTCCCGCGCAGGCGTCTATCGATAGTTCCTGCCCTGGTGACCCCCCCTGTTCGCAGAAGGAACTCCAGTGACGCAATCAATCGGCCTTGACCGTCACCAGGCAGTCACCAATCACCAGGTCCGCGGGTGGGTCCGGCAAAGCTTAGTCAGCGGTTGGTGTTTCATCTCCTTGTGGCTGTTTTGTTCCATCCCTCGTAGTTCCTTTGGTATATCATGTGATGAAAAGTTGTATACAAGTTTGCTACTTGTACTCTACCTGTACAATGCAAATATCGGATCTCTGACCTCCAGCTGGGCTCTAGTGCCAACTCCATCTCAGACATTCCGTGCTCTGTCTCAGAAACCAACGACCAAAGACCCCCTTGCAGCCATGGCACCACATTGGCCCGCATTCTTCATGCCCCTTTGACATCAAGCTCAATACTGTAAGAGTTCGACAAGATACCCGTCAGGATCCTCTGCGAAGCCTACTCCAGTGACAGCCTTCCATAGCCCCTCATTTCTCCCCTTTTCAGGGGACTCCGCTCCAGTAGCCCGAGCCGCCACCTCCAGGCCTTGGGTGGAGCCAGGCTGTTTGAGGATCTTGACCCCGTTGTCGACAAGTCGTTGCATGCAAGCTGGAAGATCTGGAACTGTGAAGCAGAGCTTGATGAAGCCAAATCCTGGGTGCTCATTGGAGTTGGTTATAAGTTTCGACGAGTGCTGCGGCACAATTAGCTCGCGTGGCCTGAATGACTACCATGTTCGTCCTTGCTCAAGAGGAAACGTACCTCTGACCAGATCAATTCCAGTACAGCTTGTCTAGATAGGAGCGTGCTCATGTCGCCGGCTGTGCTGGCATCCCCTTCAGGAAATGCCACAAAACAAATCTTGACAGTGTCGAGCTCCATACGCCCCAGTTCGGTCATACCCAAGACATCCTTGTAGAAATGTAAGGATCGGTCGAGGTCAACGACTCTGATACCGATCTGGTTGAATTTGTACTTAGCAGTGGCCGACGACATGATGGGCTGGAGTAGACGGGGGCGGAGAGATTGACCGATGGAGAGTCGACCTGGTTCGATTCTTGTTCATACCTACCTATTTAGAGAGGCATCAGAATGCAGGAGGGGCGTTCAGCCGATAAACCGAGGCTACGAGTGGCATTGTGGTTGATGCTCTTAGATGCTTAATGCGAGGTCCGGGCCATAATTTACATACAAGTCAATGACTAATGGCGGATGAGTCTTGCACTTAGGAGTACTTGGGTTAGTTAAAGATCCACATGAAGAGCTGTTACTGTGTAACATGCCTTGGTATAAGGGAGTGTCCTTAGCTGGTCTATATTCGTCCACTTCCCATACAAGGAAGCACTTCTGTCTGCATAATAATTACAATTGCGATTTAGGTCTCCCTCGATCATACGCTCAATGTATGGTGTCCACAGCCCCAGCTAGCGTGATACTACAGGATGGGATGCTCTGGGTAAAGAAAGATGCGACACTCTCGCAAAAATCAATGGCATGGCTTGGTATTCCTTGGTTTCTCTTGGTACCCGCGAATTTGGGCCCCTCCCCCAGACTGACCTGACCGTCACCACACGGTACAATCGCATAAAATACTTATATGGGCCGACTGACAGATAGAAATGAATTGGCAAGGCACGCTGAGGTAATTGAAATGCTTGTTCTGGTTGCGCTCTCTCTTCTCCAACTACTTGTCACCGGAACCAACGTGGTTGAAGACACCAAAACCCCAGCGGCTTCCGACCAGGTACCCTACCAGTTCAGCGGCGGTGACTTTGGTCTAGGGACCAATGACAGCGTTTCAGCAGACGCAGACACTTTCGCGCCGTGGTCATACAAGCCCGCGTGTACGGCAAAGATCAGTGAAATCGACAGTGAACTGTGCGTCTACACCGACCGGTTCTTCAGCGATGGCCGGGGTATCTCGATCTTCACTACTCCAGAGGTTGCCAAAGAATTCGCTTCTCTCCTAGCCTCTTTGAAGAGCTCGTTAAAACCAGATGACGAACCGGGGGTCAACCAGTTCACAGGTGCGTGGTACACACACCCCGTCGCCGGCAAGGGAATCGGTATGCTGGCCAAACACGACCTGTCCCGTGGGGATATCACCACAGCATACACTCCCGTGTTGCTCGCGTACAAGGAAGACCTCCTCCCCAAGGACGAGCGAGAGAAATTCCTCCGGCTGGCAATCGACCAGTTACCCATCCCATCGCGCGAAGCGTACTGGGATTTAGCCACCCTCTCCGACGACGACGACGAGGACAGCCACCGCGCGCAGGAAATTGCCGGTGCTAACGCTTTTGAGATCCGACTCGAAGAGAAGAAAGGAAGTAAATCCAAAGCATCGGCTGCGGACGTGTCTGGGTCAGGGACAGCCCATCTGGCCGTCATCCCCGAGGCATCGCGCATGAACCACGACTGCGCGCCCAACGCCATCTTCTACATCAACGCCTCGACTCTCGCTCACGTCGTGCGCGCCACGCGTCCGATCCGCAAGGGCGAGGAGATCACCATCGCCTACACCAACCCGCTGGCCCCGCGGGCCGTGCGGCAGAAATACCTCTCGGACGCGTTCCATTTTACATGTACCTGCTCGCGCTGCCTCCGCGATGGCAGGGCCGACACCCACACAAACGCAGGTTCAGATATCGATGTCGACGCGGCCTTGTCTGAGATAGCCTCCCTCCAAAACACGCTCTCGCGCTGGTCCGACCCCGCCTCAGATGCCAGCGTCAAACACGCCGAGCGGCTCGTGCAGCTGCACCGCGACGAGGGCTTGGAGGGGTACCTCGACCCGGCGTACTGCTACGCGGCGCTCATGTACAGCGCGGTGGGCAGCCTGCGCGGCGCGCAAAAGTACCTCGCACTGGCGATCGAGGCGATCGAGCTCCGACTTGGTCCTGGGGCACCCGATCTGCCAGCGTGGCGGGCTATGTTGGACGATCCGACCAGGCATTGGAGCTGGATGGTTAGGAAGAGGGGGGAAGCGAGCGGGTACGGGCACGGGCACGGGTCGCGGGTGAGAGGGGAGTTGTAACTATCTACAAGGGTAGGAGGTAAGGGGTTTATAGTGTAATATACATACATACATACATGCATACATATATCCAAGTACATATCCCAGGTAACAAGCCCGCTTCTCTGGTAACTTGGGTGACTACACACAGAACCCATCCATTCATTGTATGCATCACATGAGGCTCGGCTGGTAGGGCATGGTAGGTACATGTATATAGTAGATACGTAGGTGACCACCAAGGCGAACCCCAAGATCAATACTAAAACTAAATGCAAATGTAAATCCTACATACGTATTCATATATGTAGATATGTAGATATATCCGTCCAGCCTAGCCCAACATAAAATCCCCTAGACCAAGAAAAATGAAAATAGTCATGGGCATAATCGGGGAGATGACCGCGAGTGACCCAAATCCTTCCCTCCCACGCCGTCACTGTCGCCGTGATATCATGTCACCTCGACCCCTCAACCCTCCACCCTACCCATACCGCCATTGCCATAGCCATTGACCATGCCACCATCACCACGTCTTAGCACGTCTCACCGCCCCTTCCCGCCTTTGACCACTTTCCCCTTGCCCTTCCCCACCCCCTTATCCCTGACGCCCCTCCCGACGCGGTGCAAAAACGTCCAGGCCGCCCTTTCGTCCTCAAACGCGACGTACCCGTCAAAGGCCCTGGCGGGGGTATTCTTCAGAATCTTCCCGACGACCTCGTCGACGGCGAGGGCGTCGATTATCGACATGGCCGTGGAGATGTGCTCGCGCGCACTGTCGCTCGCGCCATTGGGATGGACTTTGCTGTCGGATTCGAATGTGAATTCGGTAGCGGTATCCGAATCGGTATTGGGATTGGTGTCGGCGTCGGTGACAACCCGCATCTCAATCTCCGGCGGCACAGGTAGTATGCAGATCCCGCTGCCCCCTGCGCGGGGCAGGCGCATCAGCTCGCACACCTTGGGGCAGAGGATGTTGGACTGAGGCACGAGGAGGACGAGTTGTGTGCGCGGCGTGAGGAGCAGGGTCGAGATGGTCGTGTAGGTGTGCGGGTAGGTGATGGAGGGGATGGTCGGGCAGGAGAGGAGGTAGGTTCGCAGTTCGGTGGTAGTGTTGCGTGGTTGTGGCTGGTGATTGTGATGATGGTGGTGGTGGTGTTTACTCGTGCCGTTCGTGTGCGGTTTGGTACTATCATGATGATGACTATCGTGATGACCGTGGTGTTGTGTTCGCGACCGCGACCTTGATCTCGTGCCCGTCGAGGAGGTCTGCCATTGACATTGTCCACCATCCCCCATGTCGTCTGGTCCCAGTCCAGACGCCACCACTGCTGCTGCTGCTGCCACCATCACCATCTCTGCACCGCCCGCGCAGCCGCTGGTGACGAGGTCCTCGTGCTTGAACCTGCGCTCGCCCCGCGCTCTTCGCGGAGTCGTAGCCGACTTTTCCTTTGCGGCGAAGCTGCAGTTCTTGACCGGCGGCAACGAGCATTTCCCCGTCGGATAGGCAAAGTCCCAGCACGACACGCCTAGCGCTTCCATGTTCGAGTGCGAGTGCGTGTCCCAGTCCTTGTCGCAGTCGCAGTCGCGGTCCGCAGTATTCGCGGTTGGAGCCGTGGTCGTGGCTGTGGTCGACATTGTCTGCGACGACGACGACGACGACTCCACCTCGGTCGTCGCTTTGATCGGCAGCGCTCTGGGGGCTTGGATGTTCAAGCTGGAATGTCGAAAGGCCAGTGTCGTGAAATGCATGTGGATCAGGACTCTCAGTTCCCGATTCCCCTGTGCCGCGGTAGCTGACTATATTTGTTATCACGGTCGCTCAAAAAGGCCCCACGCTGCGAGCGTCGCGTGGAAAGATATTAGGTATAGGGGCCTCCTCCTGACGGGATCAGCCTCGTGTTTGGTACAGGCTCCTGCTCTCTTGACCGGCTCTCGCTCACGCTCACACTCACGGCTGACGCTTACCCCCTCTTGGCTGTCAGCCTGATCGTGATCGTGATCAACAACGCCAATGACAGGGAGGACAAGTCAGGTCAATCTAAACGAGCATGCGAAGAGCTGAGCATCGAATAGACTTTTGAGAGGGATGTCAGTCTCAAGAGAAACTAATATACTTGTAGTTATTTGAACGAAGATGCGGGGCAGGGCGGGCGCAAGGGGAGTGGGAGATATCTATACTTGTAGGACGTAGGACTCGTTCCGTCGTACAGAGCATGATATGTGCATACATACCAGCCTCGGTAGGTACAGGACCCTAAGGGAGGGTAAATAGTTTTACGCCGCCTTATCCATAAAAGGAAAGATAAGAGGACCCCTTGTCCTAGATACCGGGCACCTAGGAGAGCGAGAGGGATATACAAGTCCCAGTAGTCCAAGTTAGTAGCATCATCCTTAAAAAAACGATGCTATCCCTGGGCGAGGACGTGGGCGGGCGCATGACAGGGACCGCGCAGCCGAAAGACTAACGAAGGGTTGCACTCGAACAATCCTGCCTTTTACTTACATACATACATACATACCCTGTACGAAGTAATAGTAATTAGGCGAAACACCGACCTGGCCTGGTGAATCTGAAGTAACAGAGGGTGGCAAGTAAGGGAGGTTGCCGTCGAATTGGATAAAATCCCCCCTTTGCATCCTTGTGACTTTCTGGTTCCTCGTGAGCGATTTTCTGGTCCATTCCCATCCCCATCTCCTAGAAGACCGATGAGAAAATGCGGAAACCGAGGCCTGGGGGTTTGGACTGGGTTGCGCTGGGATATCCGGAGAGAGGTCCGCGATCAGCTCTACATCCAGCTAACAGAGATATCGCCAACGATAAAAAACACCGCGTGCATACCCCGCAGCCGATCAGCCGTTTGACGTGCCTGCACATATACACACTAGTCCTAGTCGCATGGGGCCCAACACACTTTCAGCTGGCTTCTCGGAAAGGATTATGGTGCCGAAGACGCGAGGCCCGAGCTGGCGTTTGCGGCTGATATATATATTTTTTTGGCGTCGGGTGGCTGCGATGAGGTGAGCGGGTTGGCGGGATAAGAAGGGCCCCCCAGTGGCCGTATGTAGAAAAGCTGACCCAGTAAAACTCCAAGAGATACCGTTGCATAGCTGTAGTAGCAAAGCCAGCGAGACAAAAGTACCTGCACGAGGACACAACAAAAGTGACAAACAGCTGGTATGTCGAGGTGTTCAGCTTCCTCAGCGGTCAACACGACTGGTAGAATATCCCTCATACATCTCGAATGGTGGCTCGCGGAAGCTCGTGGCACGCATCTCCCCGTGATCGACAAGTGCATCCAGGAGGCGACCTAGAGACGACCTGGACACGTCCGTAAAGGTGGTTGGACGGCCATTTCTCGGCATTGACAAGGACTGTGCATGAGTTTGCGGACCAGAAGAAGACGCAAAGATAGACCTCGTGAGGTGTCAAAAGTCCATGCCGGCATGTTCAAAGCCATGTCCTGAGTAATGTGGTAAAGTTTCTCGTCCACGCGCATGCGAGGCAGAGATCATCGAAGTAATATATACTATAGTAATCGTATGTACATAGTGTTCATTATGCTAGAGAGGGGGTAGAGGATAGGTGTAAATGCTTGGGAACCGCATGTCGGCTTCATTCCCGGCATGGTGCACGCTTCTGCTCGCTCAAATCCATCAATGTGGGCCATACGACAAAGCTCCTCCCATATCTCAATGGGTAGGCAACTTAACCTTAAAGACCAACACTTGATTGTCCAGGCTGAATCCACCCTCGTCGGCGTACGGCAACAGCCCGCCGTTCATGAATCCATCCTGAGTGATAAAGTCGTTGTCACTCAAGCTGAAGATGAAATACTCCCCGTCAGACTTGGTATATCCGTCTTTGCAGGTGGGACCGGAAGGATTGACGGGGACCACGGCTATCGATTCCCATTTTTCGTTCAGAAGACCGGCGTCTTGGGGACCACCATTGTGCACGCCAAAACGATTGAGCTGGGCGTTGACATTGTAGTCGAGCCAAGAGCAATATGTCGCCGGTATGATCGACGCAGCGAGAACACCGTCCACGGAAGCCGCAGAGCAAGTTGTGCAGTCGTAGGTGTTTCCCGCCAGATTGGTGGCTTTGGAGATGTCGATGACATCAATGTGGCGGTATCGAGATGTCGAGTTGGACTGACCATGACCGCGGCCAGAATCTCGAGCAAGAACAAGGAACTGGGTCGGGCTGATATAGTGGAGTTCGGATTGAGCAGCAACCAGAGTGTTGTTGCTGAATACTGGGAGTGGAACCATATACTCGGACTTGTAAATTGGCGAAGAAGGGTCACTCACATCATACTCGAGCAGACGAGTTAGGCGTCGTGTTGAAGAGTTGTCACCACCTTCCTGTGCCAAGGCCGATTGCATCAGAGCATAGAGGGTTTTCTTGTCGGGCGAAGAGGTGAGGCCTTCCAATCCTTGGTTATTTGAGCGCCCGGTGTCGGGGGTTGCTGGGATTGTCTCCAAATCAGGGTCATACCGAGGAGGGCTGGCGGCGTTGAACGACTCGGTGCCGTTTCTCTCAGGAATGATTGCAGCTGGAGGTCGGATAGCTCCTGTCATCTTACCACTATGGTCGAAATGGAAGATGTAAGGGCCGTACTCATCGGAAACCCAGAACCCATCGTGACTGAGGACAAGACCTTCCGTATCCCCAACCACTCGGTGGCCCCCAGTGCCATTGCCGCCGAAGCCGTCACCAGTGTAGGTGGCAGATGGAAGCTCGGGGATGCCAGGAAAGGTGAGGTATGGGGGTCGGAGATCGGGATCGAGACCGGTCAGTGGTGTCCCAGCGGGGTCTGTGAAACGGACCGTGTCAAGGTACTGCAAGTGAACGTTGGGCGAGCTTGGGTTTGCCGCCGTGGAGTCGTAGTTGGGCTTGAAAGTGATCTGGAACTTGTGGACTCGAGGTTGATAATTCAGAGTCCCCTCGGTGTTCCAGCCTCTATCCGGGAGAGCCCAGAGAATACCCGAGTAAACGCCATTCTTGTCGACCTTCCATGAGCGTTGGTCAATGGCAGCGCTACTGCCAATACCTCCAGCGGTGTCACCAAACTTGTCACGCGCATCCGATGGCGTGAATCCATATCCAGCGAGGGCCTCGTAGACATAAGTCTGGCCATTGCAGGTGGTAGAGTTGACAGCCGCGCCAGTCCGTCGAGCAGGAGATGCCAATGCGAATGTGGCAGCGAGTGTGGAGACGAGCAATGTTTTGATCGCCATCATGATTGGTTGTGCGACAAGGGACAAGCTATTAGCGGACGCTCTATTGGTTATCTGATCGCAAAGGGAGGAAGCCCTGCGAGGTAAGCTCAGGCGAAACGAACGACGTGGCAAACCTGACCGTTCTGGAAATGCAAATGCAGGAACGATTGACACGACCAGAGGTGCTGAAGAAGTACTTTGAAGGGCTTTTTAACAGATGCAGCAATGGTTGGCCATCAGATGACAACTCCGATGTAGGCTGCACGTGTGCAGATACATCTGCTTGATTCGTGCGCAAGCATAGTGACCAGGCAAAAGAAAATTGTGTAGATCCACGAAGAAAACCGCGATGCTACCAGCCAAGCAAGAACTAAATAGAGATACATCTGTGAGGCCGTGGCATGTCAGAAGGGTGCGAGGCAGAAGTGTTCACAACATCCTTGCTTGAATTCGTTTGGCTGAAGAGTAAGTATTTCTGAGGGCATGAGGACGAACACAAGAGGTACTCGAGTTCATCGGGGATTTGCCAGAAGGCAATTAAGCCGAGGAAATGTAGCTCGAACTCGTAGAGAAGACATATGCTAACTGTAAAGAGGTTAGAGCTACTCAGTAAGGGAATGAATGGGCCGTCTATTCGGTACACAGTCATGCCCAAAGCGTATGTAGTCGCTAGCTGGTGCAATATTCGATTGTGTCCAGGTGGTCAATGGCACGCTGGTTAGTCGTCAAGGGACAGATTCAAGACACCATTTCCTTTCACTATCCACAAAGTGTTCGCTAAAAATTCTCCAGCTTTTGGGGTGCCTAACTCCAGACTGGTTCGGCGGCATCATTCCGTGTACCGAGGGTCGGTAGAGTAAGACAAATCAGAAGCTCGTCGGAGGCTGATGTGCTCAAATTGAGGTATTCCTCCGAGTAGGTCACCCTTTTCTCGGGGCTTGCAGGATATCCGAGCACTGGAGTATCACGTATGAAGTCGCAGGCTATGCTCTAATGTTGAACTCGTCTGCTCAGGACCAAGCCAGTTGCGTCTGCGAGGAGCACCTAGTGGAACTGTGGCTGTCTGAGACATAGTTTGTTGTGAGGCCGAGGCAGAGAAACACATGGTATCATCCCCCATCCCCGTGAAGGGTGAGAGACAGAAAGAGGTCAGATCATCGTGTCAAGCACCGGACTAGCCAGTGTCAGCTGTGGCGATGCTGGAAATCGCCGTCGGTGGGCTCGAGGAACAAAGAAGTCCCTTCACACAAAGGAATGGGAGAAAAAGTAAAAATCCCATCTGGGTTTGGATGGGGTGGTGGAGTCCAGTCAAAGCCACCATTTCCAGGCACCGTCACGTGCATTCAGCTTTCCGTCACCAATTCACCAATGACGGTTGGCGTCAGACGTCATTGGCGTCATAGGTGAATCTATGCATGACGTATCTCCATATGCTTCCTCGATCTTGGGGACCAGAAACTCAGATCGAGGGGGTGGCAGCTGATCATTCACTGTTCCTCTTGTCACGAACCTGTGATCGTCTATATAAACTCTGAAAGATTCCCAGCCAACCCAGGAAGTCTTTTCCTTTTCATCATCACACAGCAACAACTCTTTCGAAAGTCAATCAAAACTCCATTTCACACAGTCAAGGAACAACTTGTTTCAAACCACTCACCACTTACTACAATGGATACCATCAAGTAAGTTAACACTTTATCCACCATCGACCCTGTGCTCGTGGCGCCTACTGACACGGTCTCTCATAGGAACACCGTCGACTACGTCAAGGAGTCCATCTCCGGCGCCGGCGCCACTGCTTCCAAGGAAGCCAACAAGAACGTCGCCAAAGACAACAATGCCGACCTGACCACTCGTGCTCAGGCTGCTGGTGACGCTCTCTCCGACAAGCTCGACGAACAGAAGCATGAGCGCAAGGCCGACGTTCACAAGGAGGCTGCCAAGCACTAGATTTCTCACCAACCAGAGAATATGATGGGATATGAAAGGATCAAACATGGGAAGAAAGCACAAAGAGCGCTGAGATACCCCAACTGACCTCAAATTGAGGCATGCATGGTTCAACTACATGATAGTTCACCAATAGTTCCTAATGGACAAATGTTAATCCAACACTGAAATTCTCACCGTGCCTCGTAGAACTAAACACTTCTACGAATGTCTGTTGCAATCCTGTCAAGAGTTTTAATCGTTGTCTGAAGATGAAAAGTAGCTGTTGGACAGTCCCTAGATGTGATCGCGGCCCTCAAGTGCAGCAGCGGCCAATGTCCTCATGCGGTCTCGCTCTAGGGGATGAATATTCTCGAGCGCAGCGTCAACGTCTCTAGCACGGTTCTCCATCATAGCTGCTGTCGTTCCACTGTCCGACAAGTAACTCGGTGGACGGTATCCGACACTCTGATGTACTTGGTTCAGTGCTTCTTCGTATGTGGGCGTCAGAGGTGTAGGCGGTACTTGTACTTCCTTCCAGTGTACTAGATCCGGATTCAGTCTCTACCATACAATGTCAGTTATCCGTGTCACTCATTTGTTTTGAGTGCTTACCACGCTGGTTCGAGTGTTCCCATATACAGGTGGGGGAAACTGAACTGCAGGTTGATTTTCCACATCGGGGCCGAAACCCGTGTCCGTTGCCATGTGTATCTGGATTGGCTTTTCAAGGGCCAAGTCATCCACTCGTTTATTCTGCACCCGTCGTCTATCACGACGGCCTCGAGCATGGCCTGCGACAGGTCGGCGTTGAGCCCCCGCCGCCGTCCGATATCTGGACCTCTTTGGTCGTCGCATGAGCATGAACATGCGGATGAGTTGATGAATGAAGATCCCGGTCAAGGTAAGGATCAGAAGGATCGAGAGGACATGAAACAGGGTATTTCTACCCACGCCGGTGGTTGCAAGGACCAAGTCTGGATGTGTCAGGAGTTATATCCACGAAGCTCGATGGCTGCCAACTCACAAATAATCACAGCAGCCAGCAAGGTGACGCCAAATGCAAAGCTGATCCTTGCCTTTGCGTTGACATCTGGGTCACGATATGATTTCTTGGAAAACACGCTGTGTTTTCTGTTGCTTCGTTTCGAGGAACGGCTGCTCCTGCTCGTACTGCTGCCATTACGGTACGATTGCATGGCCTCTCGTTCGGAAGGCGTAGGTTCATCGTCCATATTTCGAGCAAGAGGTATTGGTTCGGTCGCCTCCGTAAAAGATGGCTGATGACGCGAGCTTCCTGCGTACATGTCTGATTGCTCGTCCTCGTCATCTCGTCGGGTTGATAGTGGCGGCACCTCTCCAAATCTCGGGGCATTCTCCATGACTGGACGGGGTGACACCCCGTCCCTCGAGCTGGTAGGCAACGCGCCTCGAGCGAACATATCGTTTCGGGCTGAGCGACGGGACGGGGCCAGGAACAAGGGAACGACGAAAGTCTTTCCGGCGGAGTTCGGTGAAGTTGCAGCACTGTTGGAGCTCTGATTTGACCTCCACAGCCGCGACATGCCGCCCACTGTGCTTGTCTGCGTATCCCTCTGTGCTTGGTGAGGATGCAGACCGCGTCTCTCTTCCATGGTTGCAGAAGTTATATCCTGATCTTTATCTTTTCTGGGTCGCTTGAAGCAAACTACTCTTCGAGGAGAGGGCGAGAAAAGGTCGACATGAGAGGCAGGAGGAGAAGAGGAAAGGCAGTGGACTTTACCGTCGCGGGTTACAGGTTGACAAAAGAGGAAGCAACACAACATCAAAGTGAATACACGAGCCGCGTCCAGACTCGAGTCTCAGAAACAGGACCATCCTTTTGACCAGTGGTTGCCACAAGGAAACGGCCATCCTGGGCTATGTTCTTCGGTTCAATAGTGCAAGGAGGGAAGAATCGGCAGAGGAATGTTGTTGTTCTACTTGATGCGAGTGAAACATTTGACACCCTTTGGACCGCGAAAGACAGACGGGTTGACAGGCTGTCATTTTCTGTCCCCATTAAGCAGGAGACGAGTCACACATATGGGCGAATTGGTCAACCGCGATGTCGCCGAAAGGAGCGAGAGGGAAAGGGAGGTCGACAGGATGGTTGGAAACAGGACGCGTTCTGAAACGCCATGTGGTCGTGTGTCACCGTGGGAAGAAGATGGGCCAGTCAAAGCGTCGCTACTACTTGGTATCAGGCCAGTGGGTCCAAGCTCTTGGGCTCAGAGGGATGGGCTTGTAGGCTAACTAGTGGCTAATGACTGGCAACCAGACCTGCTAGACCTCGCCAACCCGTCCGTCTAGGGCCCTGCATGGCCACTAAACATTGCACGGCCTCCCTTAAGCAGCGAGAAGACCCGTACAGGGGCCCGTCCCTAGGCGTAACGGGGTATCCCGCACCCAACAACTCGCATTATGACGTTCTCCCACCTCTTCTCCTCGCGAAAAAGTCCAAACTCGGCTAATATCGTCCTCGCCCAGCAACAAGCCTTGTTCCTTGCATCGGCTCGCTAGTGCCCACCTGCAATACTCAATGGGCTACGACTCCCTCGAACTAGATTCCGAATGGGGAAGTCTCTGCGATTTCGCGAGGTGCGATCTGCCCTAGGGCCTATATTGGAATATTGCTCGAGGAAAAACCACAGCCTCATGGATCAGCCTCGAAGACCCCTTGTGCGTTGATTTTGTTCGACACATCTGGCAACTCGCCTGTCTCCAGCACCATTCGAAAGTGTATATAATGAAGAGCAGCGTGCGGCCTTCAAGGGCTTGCATGCCAGTGTGCACTCTCCCATCTATCACCCAATGCAAAAGTCATAGTGTTTTCTGCAGAGAAGTTCAACCTAGGCGTTCCCCCAAATTTTGGAACCAACACTCAACATGTTCCCCATCAAACTGCTGGCAAAAGGCGTGACTGGCGCCTATGGTCTTGCGCGTGAGGCAATGGCCGACCACGACGTCAAAAAGACTACGACCGGTCAAACTCACCTGCAACTTCCGGCCTCCACTGAGGCTGAAACCGACCTTTCGGATACCTCGTCGGTCGAGTCGTCCGACGGTGAGGCAGCGGCACAAGAACTCGACGAGGTTCAGCAGTCAATTGCACCAAAACCCAAAGACATTCAACTCGACAATGCTCACGACGTTGATGAAGTGTTGGAGGCCTTTATGAAAAGACACCCACCTCCCAACTATTCGCCAGGTGCTGGTATACTGGAAATGCCCGTCATCCTACCTCAGCGCCGGCCAAAGAGCAAGGAACGAGGCTTCATTCGTGCCTATGCACCGATGCTCCAGACCTGTGGAGTCGAGCAGGGCGAGTTTCTCGACTTTCTAGATGGGTTTGGAAAAGCGATTAAGGTATGAACTTCGTACCTCTTCATGAAAGGTGTGACCATATAGGCTGATTCTATTGCTCGTTCAGTTGCATCCGGTTTTTCATGCTTTCAACCTGGCGTGCGCTGGAGCCGTCATTGCCAGTGACATCATGGTCGGCCCCATGTTTCCCGTCCATGTTGGTGCCATGGTGATTCACACCGGCGTCGAGCTGTCAAGGAGACAATATGTGAAGTATGAGTCGAACAAATATCTGGACAACATGAATGAAAGCTTTTTCAAGCCTCGAGGCCTATATGCCTTGGTTATGGCATATCAACCCGACTCCGATGATGTGATGCAAAACGTTGACATGAATACCCACGTGGTAACCTCGATCGCAAAAAGGGATTCGGGACGAGGGAGTCGATTTGCCAACGCAGCAGGTTCTTCGAGAGAACTTGAGATACCTGAGTCTGCACCCATCATCTTCCCAGAGCTGGACGATCTACCGGCAGGCGAGAAAGAGAATGCATTCAAGCGCAGCAGCAAACGACTGGTTGACTATTTTGATCGCCGGGCCCAGGCCAAGTTCGAGCAGGCGAATCCTGGATCCAAACTAAACTTGTATCAGGAGAGGCAATTTGCGTCCCGCTTCAGCGATCCCAATCATCCCGCCAACAGCGGCAGCTTAATCGCTCTGCTGAGCGGCGGCAAAATCGACACGACTGAGACGGATCGAGCAACGGCTGAGAGAAGGGCACGCAAGCGCCAGTTCAAGGACTCAAGACGTGTTGCGAGGGGCCGCGAGCCGCGCTACGATATCACCGGTGTGAACAAGCGAGCTCCGCAAGGAGGAATCAAGGGATTGATGAAGTCGGATGTGCTGTATCTTATGATTGTGAATTATCCCAGTGAGACGGAGTTGAAGGTAGCAGCTCAAGCTATGACCAACCTACGGTTGTAATAGAGCCAGGTTGATAAAACGAGGGATTTTCGACAAGGTAATTTAGCATGCCACTAGGTATAGCAAAGTTTTGTGTTCTCCTGGTACTCGTGTCGAATCTCAGTGCCACCCCTGAAGGGCGAGCGGAACCGGCCCCTTTTGATATTTTTGTACAGGTGGATGTATTGAACGGTTCTGCTGGGTTTCCGACTCAATGTGACGTTTGATATCTCAATTGATCCGCTTGCTAGGAGGTGATAATGAATCCATTTGGGCTCAAAACCTGCGACTCCAGGTGGAGGTCTTGTAGAAGTGGAAAATAGCGTGAATGGTCTTTCTGTTCTTCTCCCCGACAGGACATTCACAAGCCATCGAGTATCGAAGGTCATCGTACGAATGCGATCAGCTGGAGACGTCTCACGTGCAAAGGACTGGTGCAACCTCTCTGAAAGAGTTTCCCCTTTATCAAGCCCGATCTGTTGTCATATGCCGGGTAGACGAGAGCGGTGAAATACGATGTCCATGTTCTCACCATCTGTAGCTAATTTGCATCTAGGAGTCTTTGACAACAACAGAAAGGTTGTCTCGGGTCTCCACACAATAGTGAGCACCCATAGAGGCTGCGCTGCCACGATAGTATGCGCTTCACGCAAAGAATTCATTCTCCATTCATCGTGAAAACGACCACTCGAGGCTGGCAGGGTTTGCCTCTTTCAGAGCATGCATTAGGCGGTTTCATCGAGAAACCCCAAGTCATACGCTCGAAGGATGATTGCTCAAGCAGAGGACTGTCGAGAGGCATCTATATGACGCATCCACGAAGTCGTCACCGGCCTAACTCACCGAGAATGAGGTTGCGATCCGTCGAACCAGAGACAACTGAAGGGGTCAGCAATTTTCAGGATGCCACGTCAAGATCACTCACTGATTGGGTCTTCCGCAGGCGAGAACCGTACGTCGTTGACCGTTCCTTTATGCCCAGGGAGTTTATAAAGTAATTTCGCGGATCCGGCGTCCCAGACCACTACGGTCCGATCACCTGCTCCAGCACAAATTTTATCTCCTTTCGGACTCCAGCTTGCTCGTATCAGGTTCTTTTCGAAGCTTGAAGGAGCTCCGTCATAGGTCTGTACGGCCCGGTCAACCGGAGCAAATGGTCTGATATCCCAAGTTCGCACGGTGGAGTCATGAGAATTTGAGAGTAAGGTCTGCGAGTCGGGCGACACTTCCAATGAGGAGATCGTGTCTTGGTGGCCACTCAGGGTGTAAGTTACCTCCATTTTGCGAGCGTCCCAGACCTTGATATCGTTGTCAATGCCACCTGAGTAGATCTCGTGGCCTTGCTCTGCCATGGCCACTGCTGTGATGGGAAAGTCTGTTTCGATGTAGTCGACTGCGGCTTTTTGGCGGGGATCCCATATTCCGATGCAGCCATCATCACTGCCACTGACTAGGAGATCTTGACCACGTCTGCTCAAGTCCAAGCAGTTTATGACCTCCTCATGACCAACGTGCTTGCGCATTCTCAGCCCCGTTTCCAGGTCCCAGCTAGCAATAGTCATATCGGCAGAAGCGGAGTATATTGTTCTTGAATCGCGGGACCATTGTAAATCCAACACAGCACCCTTGTGGCCAGTCATGATTCCATAGTTGTCGCAGTGACCATATGTATTCCAAAGCATTATTGATCGGTCCATGGACCCTGACGCGATATGCTGACCGGTAGGATCGAATCTGGTTGCGAAAACCTCCCCCGAGTGACCTGTCAGTTCCATGATAGGAGCCGCCAGCGCGCTGGTGCGAAGAGACTGTTGTAAATTGATTAGCGTATCAACCAAAGCCTTGCTGTTTTGAAACCTACAGAAGGCACGAGGCTGCCATTTTGGTCTTTTGCGCCAACAGTGAGGGCCTTGTTGTCGTTTAGATCGGAACTAGACTTTTGCCTCTTTACCAAGGCCTGCGGCTGGCTAAAGCTGTCAGAAGCTTGTCGCTTTATGGATGGCATCATGATGAAGACGCCAGCAGGAACTTGTAGGAGGGTTGAAGACCAGAAGGGGGCGATGAACTGTGAACGCAGTCAACTAACGAGTACCGAGTACAGCTACAATTCCACGACCAGACATCAAATAACGACTTCCAGAAACTTTTTGGCTCGGAAGTCGGTAAATTAGTTTATCCGGAAGTCCGACGCCCAGCAACGCCTTGGCATGCCGCTTCTCCTACTTTGAACTCAGCCACATACCAGGCTCCATAACACGTCTCTGATATCTTCATTCGAGGCAAGACCGAGTTGTCCGAGTTGTGGTGAGATGCTCGTCCGTCGATAGGGATATAATACCCGATTGAAATGGCGTCAAGCCAGAAAGCAGCCCGCGTGGGCGAAGAGTAAGCTGTTCCTAGAAGCGCCGACTTGTTCATGGACTGATCGTGCTCCTCTCAGAATCTGGAAGTGAGTGTCGCCCAAATTCAATGGTTAGCGGGCCTTACATGTTCCTCAGGACGCGGGTAGACAAAGTCAACGCCGAGCTTGTCACGCTCACATATGGGACCATCGTGGCCCAACTGTGTACAGACTACGACTATGACTACACCCAGGTCAACCAGCAATTGGACAAAATGGGGTATAATATCGGCATGCGACTCATTGAGGATTTCCTTGCAAAGTCCAATACTGGCCGCTGTGGAAATTTCAGGGACACGGCGGAGATGATCTCCAAGGTACGTCCATTTACTCCGCCTCTTCAGAATGGGTTTCTGACCATAAAAAGGTTGGCTTTAAGATCTTTCTCAACATTACACCCACCGTCACGAACTGGACCGCCGATAACAAGCAATTCTCGTTATTGTTTGACGAAAACCCTCTGGCAGACTTTGTGGAGCTTCCGGACGACGGGCGGGCTCAAGATGAGCTGTGGTTCTCTAACATACTCTGTGGTGTCCTACGCGGAGCATTGGAAATGGTATCAGCAATCATGATGGGATGCTTATAATCATATACTAACGGGATCGTAGGTTCAGATGTCCATCGAGGCACGTTTTGTCAGTGACATGCTTCGCGGCAACGACGTGACGGAAATGCGGGTTACTCTGATTCGGTACATCGAGGACGAGATGCCTCCTGACGATGAATAGTGGCACCGAACTCCTACTATGGAACCAAAAAGTGTGCTCTGGCAAACAACAGAGCTCAAAAGGATTACAAGGGACCCGGCACACGAGTCGTTTCTCTGGCCATTGATCCGGACGTCACGTGTCACAAGCCCCTTTTTCTCGAAGGTACTACTAACAGTATCTACAGCGCTGGGGGAAAATTGGGGAAAGGGATTCACTGTTACCCCTGAGAGAGTTTCAACAGTGCAAAGAGGGGCCAGGGGTCACTTTCGGGCAAATGCTGAGCGGGCACTACGGTCAACTGGTTTGACCTGGCCAATATTACCTGTCTTATTGCCCAGTTGACTGCCTTGAGCCGGGCGTGGAATTTTTTGAAATGTTTGCTGCATAGAGATCTTGTCGAGGTGGCAGAAATCAATCGAGGTGAGGTTGTGGTGCAAGGCCAAGCACCCCACCATTCGTAGCCCCATTTCCGGCAAGGCGTGCTGCAATCTTCGCGGGACGTATCCGTAGGGCTGATGCGGAACGCACTCTGAGTGGCCAGACCGTGGTCAGAGTCAGAAATCATAGGCGGCCTTTTTGCCTCCAGGTGCCGTGTCCGCCTCTCGCTGCTCGCCCCCTACCCTCTGATCTTCTCGCCTGCGCCCTGACAGCAGCTCAGCAATCACGAGCCTGTTCTCCAATTTACTTGGGCTCTGATCGGTCTGCACCGTGCAGCCTAGCCAACCCAACGCCGAAACCTCAGCCGGCACCGGGGCACTGAGCACTCTCTATACCAAAAACCAACCTCATCTTTCTCGTTGCCTTTTCGCCTCGCCCACATCCACCACTACCACCTACTAAAGCACCCAGTTACTATCACCTTCCCAATTTCCCATCAGGTCATCTTTTACTTTCTTCCCTTTTACCAACCCCTCCATCTTCCCTGATAGATCTGGACTGCTATCAGCTCGCTACAGTACCTAGCCTACCGCATTTCTTACTCCCCTGCAGCCCCCAGAGGTGCTTGCGCTCCCACCGCATCCCATAATTCGTGGCGGTCGCGTTTCGTCTGAGGCTCCCGCTGCTCGACCTCCATCTATCGCAGCCCACGACAACACTTAATCAGCATCAGCCATCCTCGCATCCTCTACCGATTCCTTCTTGCAGAAAATGAGGCTTCTCTCTATTATCTGAAGTCGCCGTCGGTTTGCGCGACCGACTCTCTCCGCACTCCCATTCACGAACAACTCGAATCATCATCTCGCGACCCACCGACCTAACACACTCCCACGACTGAGGTTCTCTCCTCTTCCACTCACCCTCACTCTCCTTCAAGCCCTATCCGCTTCCCTACATAGGCCCGTATGTCGATGGCTACCATGAATATGGCCGGCATGAATCCTGCTGCCATGGCGCCAGGCGGTCCTGTTGGTGGTGGAATGATGATGATGAACAATGGCAGCCCGGCTACACAAGTCAACATGGGCAGCTCTCCTGAACAATTGAAGGCTCAATTAAACACATACATCTACGAGTATTTCCTCAAGCTTGGTCACTATGATCTTGCTCGAAGCCTGCTACGTGAGGAAAAATTCGAACTCCGTACGAAACCGCCGGTCAAGCAAAGCCCCGGGCGACGTAAAGATGCTGAAGTGAATGGTGTTGATGGAGATGCCATGGATACCGATGTCAAAGACGATATTCCTGACGACCTTCCCCGCCCCCAGCATGTTACCGATGCCAACACCCCTGGCATCGGCTTTCTGTTCGAATGGTTTAGCATCTTTTCCGACCTTTTCACTGCGCATCGCTCAACCAAAATGCAGGGTGGCCAGGGCGGGAATATGGGACCAGCTGCTCAATATTTGTTTCAACATCAGGTACGAGTCCGTCGCAAGCTTGTGTTCGGCACTATCCACTGACTTTCCGCAGAACATGCAACGCATGAGGGAGAACCAGCAGAATCAGAACCTCGCTCGACCTGGCATGATGCCCCACAACCGATTCAACATGCAGGCTAATCTGCGTGGCAACGTCGTGAATGGCAATAATATGGCTAATAAGTAGTGAGTGGGCATCGCTTAAGATAAGATTCCCTGGGCTGCAAACACACTGACACGTATTCACAGCACCCCTCAGCAAATTCAGCAGCAATTCAAACAGGCACAGATGCTTCAGCAGCAACAACAGCAGCAGCAACAGCAACAGCAGATGCAGCGTGAACAGGGCGATGTGGACATGAATGGTCGGGCCTCGTCGCCGGCGGAGGGCGAGAATGGTGGGTCGCCGTCCAAGAGACCCCGACTCGAAGGTCAACAGTTCAACGGTGGCATGATGCCTAATGTGCGGCCAGGAATGCCCAACGTGGGACCTCAGCCCATGCTGATCCAGAACTCTTTCCAACCCAACATGAACAACCCTCAGTTTCGGCAAAACGGCGGCATGCCACAGAAGCCCATGCAGGTAAGCAGCTCGTTAAACTCCTGATGGTATCTGCGTTGACTAACCGATAATAGCCCGGAATGGCTAATGGTATGTTGAACATGGGCAATTCCGGATCACCTCTCATGCAGAACGTGGGCCCTCCGTACGAGAACAATATCCAGCTGGAGCTTTACAACCAAAGGATGGCTACCCAACAGATGCAAGGTGGTCCAGGTGCAGGCCAAACTGGAAACCATGCTCTTCAAGATTATCAAATGCAGTTGATGCTCCTTGAGCAGCAGAACAAAAAGAGATTGATGATGGCGAGACAGGAGCAAGACAATGCTGTCAACCGAGACGGCGGCCCAGGTGGACCCATGGTTGGAATGCAACCCGGCGGCATGTCACCATCAGGCAGTCGAACGGGCACTTCGCCCATCCCAGTTGACGGGATGAAGCGCACGCCACAACTCGGAGGCATGCCTAACTCGCCATCGGCGGGAGACATGGCAGGAAGATCGCCTGGCACAATGAACTTCATGAACGGCATACAGAGCACCGACTTCAATCCCAACATGTTTATGAAAGACAATCAAGGCATGGTCCCCGGTGCTCCCAATATGAGGCCTCCCACGGCTATGGAAATGCAGGCAACCATGGCTCGTCAACAGCAAAATCGTATGGGTGGCCAGTTTCAAGGTGGTCAACCAATGGTGCAGCAACCCTCTCAAGGTGGAGGACCGCAACCGATGGGCACGCCTGGACAACGGAACGAGATGCCACCTCCTCAAGCTCCCGCCGGGAACAATGCTCAACGCAATCAGCCTGGATCCCCCCAGAGTGGCAACGCTCCTCCAACCCCGTCCACAACGAACAAACCGAACCCCAAGAAGAAGGCCAAGGAGGAAGGAACAAAGAAACGTCCGGCCAAGAAGGGTTCAACAGCTGCCGCTGCTGCATCTTCGGAGAATGAGCCTCCTGCAACACCCACTCCTTCGACCCCTCTCACTCCAGTGCATCCTCCAGGTTTCAACAATTCGGCCGGCAAGGCCGGTGGTCCTGGAATGCCGAATCCCAGTCAAGCTCCTCCACCAAACGCAGCCATGCCGCCCAGTCAACCACAGATGCACCAGCCAGATCTTTCCCAACAAAATGCTTTCACCGACTTCAATGCGGACCAGAATTTCAACCTGGATTTCAGCAGTTTAGAGAACAGCGACGTTTTGGAAAACTTCGACTTTGACAGTTTCCTGAACACGTCCAACGAGGACACATTCAACTTCGACAACGCCATGATAGGGGGAGACTTCGGGGTTGACGCAACTAACGAATAGTTGGCCGTTGCAGGTGATGCTGTGTATCAATTACTAACTAATGCTTTGGCGTTACTGATGATCTTTGGATGCTCACGCATGGTTGGTTACGGCGTGTGCACGAAAAGAGCTCCTGTCCTTTTCTCCTTTTGGAAATACTTGCTCTGTTGATTACTATACCCGTTGCTCAGACGAAAATGATTTTACTTGCTTGGACATAACTTCATGGGTTGACATGTAGTTGCATTGGTATAGGGATGGACAGGTGCCTAATTCCAGTTTCACTTTCCAATTCTGCAGTGTGGCCTCGTCGTCGATATATAGACATCGCCATTGCCTCCATGGTTCGAGTCGTCTACCTATCCCTTCTGGTGCCGCCTATGACAGTCGCGTTGGAACTCCCATCTAGGAGTAAGCTGATGTTGATGGCGACTTCTTTGGCGTTGAATCAATGCTCGCACCTTCTGCCACATCTGGCTACTTTGCTCTTGCATTGGCAGGTTAATGGGGTCATGTCGACTGCCACTACTTTACGAAGACGGAAAGCTGTCTTGAACCAGCATGTGCTTCATATTCCACCCATCCTCTGCTATCTCCCTTCGATGTGGACTGTGGACTGAAACTGCACGTCCCTTGTCGTCATGAGGTACCAAAATTGGGACGTACTCCTCTTCCCTGGTGACTCAAGGACTCCCGTACAGGAATTCAACACCAAATGCTTCGTGCTAAGGCAGAGTGAGTGCTACGCGCCTTTGAGCGACAACGAGGCACACTGACTCACTCGTTTAGACGTGGATTGCTCCTCGAGTGATGCCACTGTCGAGAAATATCCCAACAATTTCGAGTCGATGACACTGGTTCCTATCCTCACCTCTTTCATTGCTAGTCTCGAGCGTGGCGCAGCGTTCCGAATTTCAATCCACAGCTGGGATAAACCCACCCCGTCTCACCTCTTGCTCAGCTACAAGACCCCCGAAGAAGCAATTCTGTTTGAAGCACGAGTGTATATTGATGGAGTTCTCGTTGCGTAAGGACGACAACGAAAGTCAAGTCGGCCGCCTGGCTAATTGATCATACAGTCAACGTGCATTCGACGAAAATGTGTGGCCGGAAGTCATTGGTATGAAGAATATCCCAACCCCGACGCAAACCTCTTTGGCTAATGATACCGCAGGAGATCCAGGTTGTCCCCGTAAGTCCCTTGTGTACCGAGAAGGGGCTAACGGCACAGATCGCGATGCTCGATATCTCCAATTTCCCACGTTCTACAGAGAAATGCTTCAGCAACCAGGTTGGGATCACAGCGAGCTCATGGGTCGAATCCGGGTTGTGATCTCAGAAGGAGTTGTGAGAGAAAACACTCCCCCGGCAGCCTCAGCTACCAGGTTTGATCGCCTGCGAGATGTTGTTGCGTTCTCCTTTCAGCATGCCCCCCAAGGTAAGTAGGAGTTGCAGCTTCCCTCAGCCCCAGCCAAAGCTAAGACACCTCAGACATCCTCGAGTACTCGGGAATCGCATGGCCAAGCTTCAAAATGTTCCAAAAGCTGCCCAGCAAACCGTCGCGGCCTGGACCGATCGGCTCTCGAGTCTCTGGTATTTCGGGCCACGAAGCTCATTCACACTCGCCACAGCGGTTACCTCCAATAGCGTCGCGAAGTAAAAGGCTGTCGACGAATGAAAATTATCAAAACTTGTTGGAATCACAGAAGCATTCAGAGGCCCGGCTCGATTCGGTCAGGAAAGTCCCCAATGTTAGTGTCTTGAAGAGCCAGTCCCCTGAAAGCCAGATTCCCATAAAGCTTATGGCGCAGGATGATGACCCATTCATCTCCTCGCATCAGACCCCTACGGCGATACAGCAGTGGCGGCTGCAACTGAGGTCAACCAGTCACGACGTCTCCATGCCTGATTACGCGTCCAGCAAGACCGATCGCAGCGTCGTCAATACCGAGATGTCGGGGGTCAGCGTCCCGCGAGCCAACTTTCTGAAGCACATGAATGAGGCCAACCCTGAAGAGATTCTCCAAGCTCTAAGTCCTGCTCGCCAAGAACAATTATTCAAGGCCCTCAGCGCATCACATAGTCCAGTGGCCGGTATAGGCACTCAACCACCAGCAAACACTCCTCAGACCACCAACGATTTCAACACTCCGAGAGTTATGCATTCTGGCGGTGCCAATGATGCCGCGACGGCAAGAATCTGGCAAGAACCGCGGCAGCGACGCCGGACATGTTCGCTAGCTAGTTCCCGAAGCACTTCAGAGCCAGTGGCGCAGCTGATCAAAGAACAGACCAGTCCGCGACAGCCCCAGGGACCGAGTGCACCTGCAGAGGGAAAAAGCCAGTTGTCAGCGGCGCCGAGATCGCTTTCACTTGGCTTTAATCGCCAGAGATCAGCCTCGAATGGCTCAAAGCGCAAGCGGTGCTCAACCTCTCCGGGATTGGGCTTGGGTAAGATTGAGGACACAATTCAGGTTGTGATGTCTTCTTCTTCGTGGTCGTCCTCTGCATCAGAAGGGGATCGAGACGAGTCGGCGGGACCAAAGTGCGCGGCGTCAGCGAGGAAATTGGGCTTTACTGTAGCAGACTGAAGGCAAAGGAGAGGGCAGGTCATCATGTTTTAGCTCGACATTATTCGACAGGTATAAGATAGGCATCGTTGATCTACCTGAAGGCAACGGGCAACGAGGCTGAGGTCAAGAGGGAGCGAGACGGGGTCTAGATGCATTGACACTCCGTCTGGGTATCGATGGTGACGGTATAGTGAAGCACAGGAGGTTGAGATTCCTGAGGTATACCTATCTAGGTAGACAGTAGCATGCAATGGTTTTAATGTACCAAGGACCTGGCATGTACCAGTTTGCCGGTATCCAGACCATGGCCGAACTTGGCAAATCCACAAGCATCACATTCTTTGATCATCAATTTATTACCCCACAAATTCGGTTACTTGCGGTGCGTCACGCTTTGGACCTTTTGCCCCACGTTCAGAAAACTTTTGCCTCTTGCGCTCTTTGCGAAGATTGACTCATATTCTCTAGTCTCCTCTGTACCGCGCTGAATGATACTCCCTTCACATTCATACTCACGCTCTCTTCGACGTTGATTCAAACCCTGGTGTGGTGATCGCAATCGAACCTCAGATATTAAGCCGAGCCACTTCCTCGCCTTGGCCGCATACTTCCAGCATCCTCGGTTGACCAACTCTCCTTGATAGTGACTACTGGTCTCCGGTCGCGAATTGCTCGTTGACTATGCCTATGTATGTGCGGGCTATATGTAAGCATCACAGGACAGGACTAATCGACATATCTTAGGCTTCGAGAGCCCTGGAAAAAATACCGCAAGTTCAAGCCTCTTGACTTGCCTAACCGACAATGGCCCTCGCGGACCAACGACAAGCCTCCTCGGTGGCTGGCCACTGATTTGCGAGACGGCAATCAAAGCCTTGTTGATCCGATGGTATGAACACTCGCTCCGGAACCTCTCAACCCGCTGGTTTAGAGACTGACGGTCGCTTTAGGATGGTGAACAAAAACTGCGCTTCTTCAAGATGCTTGTTGAGCTGGGTTACAAGGAAATCGAGGTCTCGTTCCCTTCCGCTTCGCAAACCGACTACGACTTTACAAGATACCTGATCGAAACCCCCGGCGTGGTCCCCGACGACGTTTGGGTGCAGGTTCTGTCACCCTGCCGCGAGGACTTCATCCGCCGGACTGTGGAGTCTGTAAGAGGAGCCAAAAAGGCCATTTTACACTTATATCTTGCTACCAGTGAATGCTTCCGCAGAATTGTGTTTGGCATGACTGAAGACGAGACTCTTGCCCTGGCTGTCAAGTGTACCAAGTTTGCGAGATCCATTACGAAGGACGATCCTAGCCACGCAGGTACAGAATGGCTCTACGAATTCAGCCCCGAGACCTTCTCAGATACATCGCCCGAGTTTGCGGTACGAGTGTGCGAGGCGGTAAAAGAAGCGTGGGAGCCGACCGAAGACAGTAAACTGATTTTCAACCTCCCCGCCACGGTGGAAATGGCCACGCCGAATATATTCGCGGACCAGATCGAATACTTTTGCACCCATATGACCGAGCGCGAGAAATTTTGTGTCTCGGTACATCCTCACAACGACCGAGGCTGTGCTGTAGCAGCTGCAGAGCTGGCTCAGATGGCGGGTGCTGAAAGAGTCGAAGGCACTCTGTTCGGCAATGGGGAACGAACCGGGAATGTTGATCTCGTTACCCTGGCTCTCAATCTGTATACGCAAGGTGTCTGGCCCAATGTTGATTTCAGTGACATCAACAAAGTCATCCGCGTCTGTGAAGAATCAACAAAGATACCCGTCAATGAGCGGTGGCCCTATGGTGGCCAGTTAGTTGTTTGTGCCTTCAGCGGCTCACACCAAGACGCTATCAAAAAGGGGTTTCAACTTCGGAAAAAGGAAGGTCGTGGTGCTGAGGATCCATGGGAACTGCCCTACCTGCCACTCGATCCTCAGGATATCGGACGTACATACGAAGCCGTCATCAGAGTCAACTCACAGTCTGGTAAAGGGGGTGTCGCCTGGATTATCCAACGCAGCCTGGAACTGGACCTGCCCCGCGGGTTGCAGATCGCATTCAGCAAGATTGTGCAAAAAGAAGCCGATGCCAAAGGTCGAGAGTTGCTTCCTCGAGAAATCCAGGCCCTGTTTGAAGAGTCGTATCATCTCAGGAAGAATCCGCGATTTACTCTCATCGACTACAACATCACAGCTGTTCGGACTCCCTCACCAGCGCCCCAGACGAAGATTTCAGCAGGCCAGCCACCCCAGACAGCGGCGCCGGCCCAAAATACCTCGACTGCCAAACGACAGTTTGCAGGTATCATTGCCATTGATGGAGTTCAGCACCCGATCGTGGGGGTGGGCAATGGTGCCATTTCCTCCCTCGCCAATGCTTTACATTCCTTGGGAATTGATCTTGATGTGGCGGATTACAAGGAGCACGCCATTGGTGAAGGGAGAGAAGTGAAAGCTGCTACGTATATAGAGTGTACGGCAAGCAACTCGAGCGAGAAAGTATGGGGAGTTGGCATACATGAAGATGTGGTCCAGGCATCCTTGATCGCGTTGTTGAGTGCAGCAAGCTCGGTATGTCTCACCCCCCACAGCGAAGCGAGTTTTACCTGGAATCTGAAAACAGAAAGCTGACTCTCAAACTCGGCAGTTCTTGACATCGCGGGTTTCCACGCCGGTCCCTTTCAAACCTAAGCACCTGAGGCAGTTTTCTGAAGCGGAACTCGAAGCTTTGGAGCGTCTGAACCTGAACAATGGCTCCGACAGCCCTAACAGCCCATTGAGATCGTCTGTGACTGCAACAGAAGGAGGTGTTACACCGTCTAAATTGAACAAGGAGACGCATCCAAGCAGCGTTGCCGCGAACAAGATTGACATCGACTTGCTGGAACAGAAGGCTGAGTCTGTCAATGGGCACGTCGCCGACTCCTAGTATGTCTGGACAAGTGCGCACGGCCATTTTCCTGAGGGCCACGGTTCCATTTGCATGAAAACTAAAAACGGGGGGTAATGGGGGTGAATTAGGCCACTTCTAGTGGGTGATTTACCAAAAAAGAAAGTGGGTTGATTATTTGTTGTATAGCCAGGATGGATGCGCCTTGGACACAAATCTGATATTGGGCTGCACCAGCGGTGATCACCCCCCTGCAACATTTGCATGATCTACCAACAATTCCTCTTAGAGACCTTGAACCTACCCCAGATCTGTCTCCAGGTGCGATGTGCACATGCTCGCGGCCTTTGAATTTCGACCCTCGGATGTGTTGTGGCACATGACATGTTTTCCATTTGTGTTCATTCAACTGCCTCGTCCAGTCTGTATAAGCCGGGGCTAACTGTCTAGGTAAGTACTAAAATTGAAGTGCCCTCCAGAGGGGCTTGGGGGTTCGCCCCCATAGACACCGAGGAGGCGCCCAATAGCTTGCATGGGGGTATAGGTCAAGCTCAGGAGACCCAATCAACCACCGCCTGATTCGCTTAAAGCCGCCCTGAGGTCGGGCCATCAACACCGAAATGCATCCCTCTGGTCCCCCCACGCGCATTTCCACTCGTCCCAAAGGCTCCGTTGATGCCGTGCAGTGAACCATGACGACGGCCATGCAGCGGGCTTCATCCACATCCATGCCTCTCCGCTGCGCCCATCAGCCATTCACCCTTTGGCGAGGGACACACGGAACTCTCCCCCTTGGGCTCTTCCCATTCATGACAAGTCCGAAGACTTCTTCTCACATGCCTTTGGAGTTGTATTCGGCTTCATTCCAGCTTCCTTTTCTCAAGTGTGAACCGTGCACTACCTGACAAACTGGTTGTCTAGTATAACTTGGGCATCGATGCCCTACCCACCTCTTCAGCCTCAATTGTTCATGAGCATTCCTAAGCTTTGAGCCCTAGCTTTGTGTCATTCCACCATCTCTTTTATGAGAAGTCGGATCATGGGTGTCCAGAAGAAGTGGCATTGATCACTGTGGTCGTTAATTGTTGAAGTCACAGCCCTCTCCGCGCAGTCCATCACTGTCGAACGATTGATCCGCGCAGTGGACGCCAGACTGGACCTCGCATTATAGAAACCATGGCCTCGGCCGGTCGCTCTCCTTCCGCACGTCGTTTCCTCAAACCACTCCTTTATTCTGGTGCTGCGATCGCCGGGGTTGGAGGCACCATATTGTACCTCTCCTACCGTCCCATCAATGTTCCTGGCTCTCAAGGCGCCATCGTCCCCATCCCGCGAACAGAGGACGGCACGATCATCCCTCCCAAGTTCCCCTTGATCAAGCCCCGTGCGGAACAGATCGCCGACCTCAGGAAGAGTGGTGGACTGGTGGGCGCCGCAGCGGAAACGCCCATCCGGCAACAGTTGAAGAATAGTTTGGACCGATTAAGAGGCGCAACAAGTGGCGACAGCGACACAAGCTTGCCAGCGGAACAAGAAGCTGGGGAGCCATACGATCTCTTGGTCATTGGGGGAGGGGCAACAGGTTCGGGCATCGCGCTGGATGCTGCTACTCGTGGTCTCAAGGTTGCCTTGGTCGAGCGCGATGACTTTGCGGCGGGGACAAGTAGTAAGAGCACGAAACTTGTGCACGGTGGTGTACGATACCTTGAAAAGGCGTTCTGGGAGCTGGACTACAATCAATATGCTCTGGTCAAGGAGGCTCTGCGTGAGAGGAAATATTTCCTCGACACAGCCCCTCATCTATCCATGTGGCTCCCTATTATGATACCTTTGCAGAAATGGTGGCAAGCACCGTATTTCTGGGCAGGTACAAAGCTTTACGACTATCTGGCAGGTAGCGAAGGCATTGAAACCAGCTACTTCTTGACCAAGAGCAAGGCCCTGGACGCATTTCCGATGTTGAGAAAAGAGAATTTGGTGGGAGCGCTAGTGTACTATGATGGCGCGCACAACGACAGTCGCATGAACATTTCCATTGCGGCAACGGCTGCGCTGTACGGTGCGACTGTGGTCAACCATATGGAAGTCACCAGCTTGACCAAGGACCAGAATGGCAAACTGAATGGTGCTGTTGTTCGAGATGTGATTGCCGAGAAGAATGGCAAGCCGGCGACGCCTTTTACGATACGCGCCAAAGGCATCATCAATGCGACAGGGCCTTTCTGCGACTCGATACGAAAGATGGACGACCAGAATGTCCAAGAAATTGTCGCTCCTAGTTCTGGTGTCCACGTGGTGCTCCCGGGATATTACAGCCCGCAGAGGAACTCGATGGGTCTGATCGATCCTGCAACGTCCGATGGCCGTGTCATCTTCTTCCTCCCCTGGCAAGGGAACACGATCGCCGGCACGACCGACGCCCCCTGTAAGATCACCCAGCATCCGATCGCTGGGGAGGAGGAAATCGGCTGGATTTTGAACGAGATCAAGGGATATCTGTCCCCGGAGATCAACGTCCGACGTGGTGATGTGCTTGCCGCCTGGTCGGGGATTCGCCCGCTCGTCAAAGATCCCAAAGCCAAGAATACCGAGTCATTGGTGCGAAATCATCTAGTGACAGTCTCGACCTCAGGACTGCTCACCTGTGCTGGTGGTAAATGGACAACATATCGTCAAATGGCAGAGGATGCGGTCGATGAAGCTATCGACCAATTCGGGCTACAGACAAGGCCACTAACAACTCCGACGAGAATTAGTGGGACTGAGAAGATGGACGACGCTGCTCCGCTCGATGGGACTTGCCAAACACACCAAGTCAGGCTTGTTGGTGCCCATGGATTTTCTAAGACTCTGTTCATCAATTTGATTCAACATTTCGGTCTCGAGACCGAAGTGGCAAAGCATCTTGCGGAGGCATATGGTGATCGTGCATGGACCGTGGCAGCACTTTCAAGCCCGACCAACGAGAGGTTCCCAGTGCGAGGAAAGCGTATTTCAGCGCTGTACCCATTTATAGACGGAGAAGTACGGTACGCGGTCAGACACGAATTCGCGCAGCGAGCCGTAGATGTGATTGCACGAAGGACAAGATTAGCATTCCTGAACGCCCAGGCGGCATTGGAAGCCTTGCCTAATGTTATCGATCTGATGGCCGAAGAGCTAAAGTGGGACAGCAAGAGGAAAGACATCGAGTGGAAGGAGAGCGTGGCTTTTCTGGCCTCGATGGGCCTCCCACGAAGCAAGTTGAATGTCTCGAGAAAGGATGTTGAGAGTGGAAAAGCCGGGTTTGCCGACGAATACGAGAGGAAGCTTTATTCAAGATATGGTAAGCCAAGGGCTGTTGGGCTCAACAAGCTGTAAGAGATGCTAACAGATTGCAGATGGTCCAGCGGACACTCTCGAGAGTGACTCGAAATTGAGACCGGGACAAAATCCAGTCCTGGGACAAGACTCGCCCGCCAACAAGTAGCCTTCTCTTCCGCTGGATATGCAGTCTGGGCAACCTTTAACCAAACGATGGTGTTTCCTCGGAGCTTCTGGTAGAGTTTTGTCGCTGTTGTGGCCCTGACGATCCTGTTAGTCGTACCAAGTGTATCAGTGACGGTCCTCGCACGATGTTTGGATACAATTCATCCGTACAGAAGGATAGCCATTCAGCGCTGCCGATCCAGTGTGGGCTTTGACGGTTCAACAAACTACTGCTTGGATCTGCAGCAGTTGTCGGTGGTTCCTGCCTGGAACACAGCATGTGGTCACACGTCCAGAACTACAAAAAGGGACGAATTCCCTCTGTCTCTGCTGGACCATTCTCCTCTGCGCAGACTCCTTATCCTTTAGCAACGTATTTGTCCGTTGGAGCAGAGCCGTCACCACTCCGTACCCTTCGCTTTCACGGTGCGGCTCGCCTCCACACATCCTCAGAACATCGCGCTGTCGAATACCACCATTTCCTTGGTCCTAAGTCGCATCAAAAATGGACGTTTCTCGCAACGCGTTGGGAACCGATGCCCGCGATAACGACAACAATCTTCCCACCAGTAACGACACATTGGTTTCGAATGACCATGGCAACCCGGAGAGTGGCCCCAAGAATGGGGATATGGAGCAAGAGAAACAAATCGATCCTATGGCCAGCCGGATCGACGGTGGTGTGGAATACAAGAGCATGGTCTGGTGGCAGGCTGGCATGGTCATGGTGGCTGAAACCATCTCTCTCGGGATTCTCTCTCTGCCGGCTGCGATGGCAACGCTGGGCATCGTCCCGGGTCTTATTCTGCTCGTGCTGCTGGGGGCGATGGCATCGTATACCGGGTTTGTCATCGGACAGTTTAAGAGGCGATACCCTCACATTCACTCGATGGCCTGCGCCGGTGGGGTGTTGTTTGGTAAATGGGGAAACTTCATTCTCGGCTGGGGTCAATTTTTGTTCTATGTCTTTATCATGGGCAGTCACATCTTGACCTTTTCGATAATGATGAACGCCATCACCGACCACGGGGCGTGTACCATTGTCTGGATGGTGGTAGGCACCATTATGAGCCTGATTTTCACATTGCCCCGGACGTTGAAACACCTGTCCTACTACTCGATTGCCAGCTTCGTGAGTATCATCGGTGCGGTCATGATCACCATGGTCGGGGTGTCGATCACGCAGCCGGGGGCGGGCTCAGACGGGGTCCTTCATGTTCGTCTCTGGCCACAACCAGATCTCAGCTTCAGGGACGGGTTCAACGCGGTGTCGAACATGGTCTTTGCGTATGCCGGTCACGTTGCATTCTTCACCTTCATCTCTGAGTTGAGGAACCCACATGACTTCCCTAAAGCCCTCGCGTTTCTGCAATGCAGTGACATTTCCATGTACATCATCACGGCGGTGGTGGTGTATTACTACGCCGGAGACAATGTCGCCAGTCCGGCGTTGGACAGTGCGAGTACTGTGGTCAAGAAGGTTGCGTACGGGGTGGCAATTGTGACGATTGTAATTGCCGGAGTGGTCAACGGGCATGTCGGGGCCAAATTCCTGTACGTACGACTGCTGCACGACCGAGAGGACGACCTGCTGCACCAGAAGACGTGGAAATCATACGGTGTGTGGTTCGCTATCGTTAGCATTTCGTGGCTGGGGGCGTGGGTCATTGCCGAAGCCGTGCCCGTGTTCAACCACCTGTTGGGCTTGACTTCGGCCTTGTTTGCATCTTGGTTCACATTCGGATTGTCGGGCATGTTCTGGATGCACATGAATCTCAACGGCAAATGGAGTTTGGGCAAGGCCTTTTTGTTTCTTCTCAACTGCGTCAATATTCTGGTCGCCGCCATCTTATTCGGGGTGGGAACATACGCCAGCATCTCGGCCATGGTCGAAACCGGGACAACGAATAAGCCATTTTCGTGTGCCAACAATGCAGGCGGGCGTTGATTGATAGGGCTCGTGTATTGTGGGGACATTGGTGGTATATCCATCGAACTCTTACAGCGCGTTTCTTAGTTATTGATAGGAAAGACCGCGGGTCCTGCCTTTGTTTCTGTTGTGTTTTGGCAACTTTTTTGAGTCTTTCGTTTGCAGCTTTAAGGGGGCAGATGGCAAGTGAGGGTAGTGCCATGGTGCATATTATTTCCTGCCATGTTGGTTCAAGCAGAGGCCAGGAAGGGATGGGACGAACTGGAAGCAGGAAAGGAATGAGGGAGGGAGAAGGTCTAGATAGATACGTAGGGTAGTGTGAACACGAGGATTCTACCCAGTCTGCCAGTGAGGCCTTTCTTCTCTTTCGTTCCAGCAGCCTAGCAGACCAGCAACCAGATTACCTATGCACGCTCTTTCTGTCTCTGTCTGTGCCTCTCATCTCATTCACGCCTTTTGGCGTTGACTTTGCCTGTCCGCAAGTAAATGTTTGCGAGGCGGGCAGATACAATGCTGTTTCTCCCCTTCCTTGCACAGATGATCGTGTATGTATTCCGTTGTCAAATGTCCTTTTCTTTCTTTTCCTTGTGGAGTTCTGGAGAAATAATGAGAAGAAGAAGAAGACGACGACGACGTGACTCGTTGTGGTGGTGTAATGCCAACTACCTAACAGCGAGGCACGCGAGGCACGCGAGGCTAGTGTAGGTAACTGCCGAAGATTGCACCCGCGTGGGTGGGGGAGGTTCTCCAGTACAGCACGGTGTACAGTACGAGGGACTGCAACGGCAAATCATCGGGTCAGGCGGAGGCGGCAGAGCGAAGGCGGCGTAGGCGGGCAAGTCTTTCCAAGGCCCAAGGATCTTGTAAAAAGAATCATCCCGCTCAAGATTGCCGATGGGGGCCAAGAAGGGAGATTGATTCCAAAGCCAAATGAGAGGGAGAGACGAGAAAGGCCGACACGGGGCTTGAGATCGGGTTGTCAGGCTCAGGTTGAGGCTTAGGCGTCACCGAAAGAGATTCTTAGAAGGCCTGGCGAATTGCTGGTGTACGCCGCTGAAAAGAGGTTAAGGAACGTTCCGAAACTGTGTATTCCTCCCAAGAAAAATGACTGGATTTACCGGTACACAATTACGATGGATCAAGACGGGTGTGTCTTGTCTCGCGCCAACTGCGGAATTGTCACCTGAGCCACAGAAAAGGCCAACCCGGTATTACGATGTGCTGAACAATGGAGAATTTCTAGACTGAAGAAAAATGTAAAAATGCTTTTCCGCCGAGTTGATGCTTGACGGGTGTCGGTATCTCACCACGGCAGTGCAATGCAATGAGCTGCTCAACCTTCACGCTTACAACTGCACCACCTACAAGTACCCCTATAACTACGAACGCCTGAGATGGGATGAGATATGTAGATATATAACAATCATCACCGTCAAGATCTGCTGGGTTTGTTTTTGCTTTTGTTTCTACATTGTGTACTACTACTACTACTACTAACACATCATCTCCAACTTTTGTACACAGATCCCTGCGCAGAGTTATTCACCAACTCTCATATAAAAAGGGGATAATAATTCTATTGGGAGCAAACACCTGAAGTTGCGCAGCGAACGAGCTCGGTACTCTTCACTTTTGCCGGATTGCACGACTTAGGCATTTGAACAAAAGTCCCATTTCGGACCATTCCGAGACCATCTCTGTCCTACTGGTTAAGATCGGAAAATTCCCTTTTGAGAGAGTCTGTCTCCTACCGAACAAAAACCCCGGAGACGCTGCGGGTGGTGAGCCGTGACACCTGGGGTAATTTATTAATTACGTCATTTGACCCCTTCCCCCTGATCTGGACAGCCTTGTTCCTCTACACACCTATTCACAAAAGACCCAAGTCCTGTTGAATAGGTGATCCAAGTGGGATTGGGTAACAAGTCATGGCCAAAGTCAAACTTCACGTCGCCATCATCGGTGCGGGACTCGGGGGATTGGCGGCTGCAATTGCAATTGCTCGAGCTGGTCACAAGGTGACGATTCTGGAACAGGCGCCAGCGTTGGGAGAGGTGAGAGGGACATCTATCCATCTATCCATTCATGAAAAAATGCGACAGAGAAGGGGGAGTGAGAGAAAAAAAAAAAGTGAACTGCTCAACTAACATTATTCTCATTGCAGGTCGGTGCAGGCATCCAAGTCCCCCCCAACAGCACCCGCATCCTCTCTCGATGGGGCCTCCTCCCGGCCATTGAAAAGGCGTCGGTGCGCCCACAAAACTTCATCCTGCGTTCCTATCGCGACGGCAAGGTCCTGTCCACGCAACCCTTAATCCCCCACTGCGAATCCGCCTATGGGTACCCGTACCTCCACATCCACCGGGCCGACTACCACCAGATCCTGGTCGAGGAGGCCGAGCGCCAGGGCGTCGAGATCCGGCTGGACAGCTTTGTGACGGGCATCGACTTTGAGCTGCCGGCGGCGCACATCAGGGGCCAAGCGCAACCCTTCACGGCCGACCTCATCGTGGGCGCCGACGGGCTCAAGTCGGTCTGTCGCGAGGCGCTGCTGGGCCGGCCGGACCCGCCCCATCTGACGGGCGACCTGGCGTACCGGATCGTGGTGCCAGCCGAGGCCATGAAGGCGCACCCGCTGCTGCGCGACCTCGTGGCCGTGCCCAACATCAACTACTGGCTGGGGCCCGACGCCCACGCCGTCTCGTACCTCCTCAAGGGCGGCAACCTGTACAACATTGTCATCGCCTGCCCGGACAACCTGCCCGAGCTGGTCAACCAGCAAAAGGCCGACCTGGACGAGATGCACGCCCTCTTCGCCGCGTGGGACCCGCAGCTGCGCGCCCTGCTGACCCTGTGCAACGACACCAGCAAGTGGCGCCTCCAGAACTCGCGCGAGATGCCCTCCTGGAGCGACCAGCGCCGCGGCCGCTTCACCCTGCTCGGCGACGCGTGTCACGCCACC